ATGACTGCACAGCTTTTCACCTTTCGGGTAAGAGCGGAGTTCCACTTGGCATGTTGCTATGTGGTTTCTTTTTGTTTGTTTTTTTTTTTGGATCGCCATGATCCACAGCAACATTTCCATTTAACACCTGGTAAATATTTGATGCTGCGAAAGGAAAGGCAAACCGTGGAATGCACACACTTACTTGCTTACTAAGCAGGGAGACAGGAAGTATGCTATGCTTCCAGTAAAAAAAAAAGTACCCAGCATATATGACAGCATTAAGCTCAAGGTAGGGCTACCGGAAAATTGAAAAAGTATCCTGCAAGAGACTGACCCAAAACAACATAAAGTAGTCTGAACTTGTGTTCTCAGCTCACGAGCTAATTCAAAGGCCGCATTTATCCCACCTACTTTATTGGGGATGCATCTGCTCTGTATCCCAGCATTTTTTTTGCCTTTATTTGATAGGGACAGCCAAAGATAGACAGGAAAGGGAGGTAGAGAGATAGAGGGGATGACACGCAGCAAAGGGCCGCAGGTCGGATCCGAACCCTGCGCCGCTGCAGCAAGGACCCAGCCCCAGTACGTTGGTCGCCAGCTCTATCGACTGAGCTAACCGGGCACCCAATATCCCAGCATATATTATTCATATTGAACATACCAGCAGGTACCGGTGATGGCAAAGGACATGAGCTACAATAACAAATACCATTTTTGTATTAGAGTTGCTACTGTATCACCAGATTTAGTTTTCTGATTTTTTTTAGGAAGAAGTTAATCATTTAAATATTAAATATGAGGAAGATTTAAGTTTTTTTCTGAAAGTATGCTCCGTTTTGTGGAGATCCAAGGGCATAGTACCAAGTCAGCCCTCAAGATTACTAGTTAGTGAATGCCCAGGGTCAAGTGTCTAAGATTTAGTGGCATCTAGCAATGTAGCTGTCACCAGTGTTTGGCTTGGTTTGGCCTTCTGGGCTACTGTAGAAACATGGCAGTTAAACATGGAAGGCGACCAACGGCTTCCGTAGATATAAAAAAAAAAGGCTCATTCAAGGTAACGAAAACCTAACTTTTACTTTTATTAAAATAACATTTTATAGTAATCACAACAATAGTGTCAGAGAGAGACTGCCACCATCAATGGGCTGTCGTCGCCATCTCTCAAGCTCCGCAGCTAGTGTGGCTAAAACTCAACAATGTTTCCAGTTTCAGAGTTTGTGTGTTTTTTTTCTTTGACATAGATTACACAGTGTTAGCCAAAGGAATTCAGGCTCATTTCCTCCCCCTTTATAAGAAAGTCAGCCCAAACACCACTGCCACATTGCTATCGAACAGTTTCCTATTTGAGTGTGGATGAACGTTATCTGCTGGTATTTTTAATTTAGAAAGAAACCACAATGAAATGAAGACCAGATAATGTCAGCTTCAGTTTAGTTTCAGTTTCACACTTTCACACAGTTATCCTTTTTTAATCTCAATCCCTAGTTTCAACCAGATATCCAGAGATTACACCTAAACATATATTCGACAAATAAACGTGTGTATCGTACCTACAAACAACTTCCATCTTGTAATGAGCTGCAGTTAATGAACTGCTTCAGACCAAGTGTCCCCTTGTCTGCTAGAGGCAATACTTAGCTAGTAAAATGAGATTCCTCTTTTTATGCCATTCCCTGTGTTTACCCGTTTACCGAGAATACCCTGTGGCCCAGCGGCATCACAAAAGCTGGAATACAAGTAGCTTATACAAGTTCAGGAAAGAAGAAGAATCCTGTAAATGGCCTTCAGTGGAGACTCCAGGACTATTAAAACCACCAGACTTTGATCATCCTAAAGACGCGCCAAAGACACCCACAGGCTGTCCCACTTCCTGTTGGCCCTGGACTCTCACTTTACTGGTTAATGTCGTGTGACATTTCCCTGGAATGTTTGTTAAGACATGTAGATGGAAACGCCACGTTTCCAGGAAACCACATGCACGATCAGTAAGCTAAACACACAGCAAGACACTGAAGGCCTGGTTATCTTACTAATGATGTGTGATACTGGATACCCAGTCAAACATGATACTACATGGGTGGCATGTTGGCATAGTGAGGAGGGAGGTCAATTAAGGTGGCAGGGGTCCTAATGAGAAGATTTACACTAAGTTTTATGCATAGGACAAGCCTGTTAAATTCATGTTTGGATTTCGTATTAATTACCAGACCTACATTTTAAGTATTTAATCTTTTAAACATTTATTCATCACTTTGGGCCCACAGCAATAACCATGTCAAGTATCCACCCAAAAAAACTCTGAGTGCTGATAAAAAGCCAAGAAGTATTCTAGAAAGACATAACAGAAGTACCCACAAAATGTCAGTCATGGGGTCTCAAAGTTTCTTTTATATCAAACAGTGATGTGAGTCATGTCTGGTTGCTATTTTTGGGCCTTTTCAAGGTTAAAATACTGAGAAGATCGTGGGGAGGGTTTTTTTAATGCTTTGTTCAACAGGAAGCATAGTAGTGTTTAAATGTGGGTGGACCAGCAAATTCAAAGCTTAACAGATGTGTTAAATCCTGCGTTTTGTCCACCCAGACCAGGGGAATTTGCCTCGGTATGAGGAAGAGTAGACTTACAGCAGTTAGAAAATACATTGTTGATCCATCATTTGAACCTGCTGTTTTTACAGTTAATGACTGGTAGCCAAAAACAGACAGTTACTTCCATTTGCAGGCAGTAAAGGATCCTGAGGCAGTTCAAACGTTTACTTCTGCTATGAGGACATACGTTGAATGGACCTCGAGACAACATTCATCTAACCTCAGGGTACCATATAAACAAAAGATATACAAACACACATTACCTTTAAAAGAGTTTGATCTGAGGGTGAGGAGCTGCTCTGCATTTTGCAGCTCTGTGAGGAGGGTGTGGACCCACTTGTTTGTTCGGATGTTTTCCATTTGCTTTGGAATGTTCTCAGAGCTGTTGGTTAGAAATGATCTGAGACTCTGAGCTGAACCCACACTGCACATCCTCCCACACACTAACTACATCGCATTTGAGTTTTCATATTCATCAAAATCCAAGACTTTTGAACATTTTTAAAGTCTGAGGCAGGGGTTTTCAAACAACAAAAACCAGGATTTTATTGTAGCTACTTTAATTGCCTCCATGATCTGTTTTACAGCCAACTACTGACTGTGTTATCAAGTACAGAAAATACAATAACTAGTTAACTTCCTGTGGTCCTTAGACTAGCAGAAGCATCCGGGCCAACCCCTCTCACAGTATCTTTGCCTCATGTCTTTCCCGCCTCAGATTGGCCACCCCTGCGCTAATGTCTAGAAGTTTGACTGTTTTCAAAAGCTCATATGACAGATAGGCATCAGCCCAAGAAATGGTCGATTAGATTTTGGTGACGATCTGGGATTTCCTGGTAGGAAAGTCCCACAGTCCTGGGTTTTCAAAGTGTTTAGACTGAACACAATATTGATATGCATGAGAAAATCTAACAGTATCACACAACTGTGTGAATGTATTCAGAAAAACACCCTGACACTGTTTGCAATATCTGATTTCATTAGCAGTTGTGTCCATTTATGTTGTCATAATATCTATGTTATCAGCGTGTTGGCGTGTACTGCTGCTGACTATTTTAAATTGTATTTGACCAGGACGTATTGGCAGCAATGCAATATAATATTAATATATATGTTTTCATTTGTGTATAATCACCCGCAGAAAAGAATCATGTTTACATTATCTTAGAATGAGCCGTTTATATCTACAGAGGGAGCATGTCCTCTTCTACAGCATCTGCCATGTTGAAACACCACATTTCTACAGTAGCCCAGAATGGACAAAAGCTCTCTCCATGTTACAAAGTGATTCGCTATATCTCCAGTCTGTTTCACTGGTCATTTCAGGTAAACAGTGTCCTTGAAGTTGGGGGACATACTTTTGTTAGCGGCCATTTTCATCGCGGCTCAAGCAACGACTTTGTATTTAGAAATCCCCAGATGATTGGTAGACGCTGATCTCTGATCGTCTGGTGCCACAAGACTAGTGGTGAATGGCTGAAGCAGGCTCTTAGGCAAACTATCAAACAAAAGCATCAGTGCCTTGTGGTAATGTGGCAAGTATCCAACAAGGCTATTTTGTATGTATAAAAATAGACTTGCAGATGCAGTACCTGATGAATTTTAGACTCAATTACCTCTCAATGTATAGATGTGGTTTCCAATGCAGTCCTTGCCTGCTGTGTTGAAATGTTCTGCCACTTTTAGTTTCTTTTGTGAGGCAAAATATAGTTATACAATTCACTGGAAGAACTACACAAAACAGACAATTTGTTTAGGTGGATTGAAGACAAAGAATATATAATTATTTTTATGAACTTGGTCGTTGTACCACTTTGCAAAAAACCTAAATAAAAATGAACATTAGAGGCTGGCAGCGTGATCATAGGCCGTGCCAGATGATCATAGTTTCAGAGATTCTCAAAGCAATTTAAGGGCATCATTCGGTTTATTCAACTCTGTAAGTGTAAGAGAAAAACACACAGGCAAAACTGAAAGCCAATGTTTTCCCAGTAAGTGCAAACAATGAGTGAATTCAGTTGTATCTGTGGGGAATATTGTTTTGTTACAAAACTACCACTGTAAGATAAGGGGACTCCAGTCATGTGGGGAACCCACCTAAAAAAAAGAAAAACACATGCTGTTTTGATCCTCGACTCACTTCAATAAACCAGCCTTGACCAAAAGGATGCAACCCTGGCAACAAAACAACATCCATGTTAAATAAACAAGACATGACAGACAACGGCGTAAGAAGGCTGACCAGTTTCACATAATGAGTGAATGCAGGAAAACAAAAAATAATGTGCAGTTCTTTTAGTGGTTTAATGAGAAGACAGACCTTTGTAAAAAAAATAAAAATAACGAGAAAACAATTTAGGCAGTTGACCTCTTGATTACCGCAGGGACTGAGCCTCAAGAGGAAATATCACGACACAGAATAAACCACAGTATTCATGAAGCGTGCAGGTACTTTATTGTCTTGTCTTTGTCCTCTCGTCCTCACAACACAGTGGTCTGAACTCAGGAGAGCCCTCACAGTCAGGGTGGACACTGGTGCGACTACAGCCAAACCCTTTTCACTTTGCACTGACCAGTCCTTCCCTGTTTGGCAGTGAACAAAATTGTCTGCCACATGACTTTTGAGCCAGTTAGTCCCAATTCTGGATTTGTTATACCACAAAAATGGCATATGTACTGCATAGTTACTGCAGCCAACCTGTCTTTATAGTGTAAAAAAAAAACCTAAATAGAAATATTATATTACAAAACTCTAATATTAGTTCTTTCCATTTACTAGTGACTGAGAAGGAAACAAAGTTTGTATTTTCCAAACACTTCTTCTCAGAGGCAGAGCAGCCATGCCGCAGTACGACACAAGACCTCTTATAGTCACATTTGGTCCCTCTTGCCGCACACACCCGCAGGTGTTACAGGTAGTGATCAGTTATCTGTCCTACCTGTGCTCGCAGTGGGAAACGTAAGGCTATGGGACTGCATCTCTGAGAGGGTACTAGCCAGTTGACTAGTACTGAGCATCAGGATCAAAATGCTTGCTGAGGGAAGCCATGCAGTGTCTGTGGTCCGGATGCGGAGCCCAGCAGGACGGGTACCAGCCTCAGCAGGTCTCTGAGAGGGATGCCCAGCTGGGTGCTGCGTGACAATAAATCCCCAAATGAGCTGCAGCCTGCAGGGTGGGAGAGGAGAGCTTCAGATAAGTTCAACATCACTGTCAGAAAAATCATTTTCTTCGAGAGTTTGCATTTATTCCATATGAACTGGATGTTTGGATGGGAGTTGGGTAAAGAAGACTTAGTTATGTTATTTGATGACAGTAAGTATTACCAGCAAAAGTATCAAACATACAAGCACTTGTTTCATAGTAAGATGTCCCCTGTAAGTGATATATTATTATATATGTCATTATTAGATTGTTAATACTGATGATACATGATAAACCTGAGGGGTCATGGGATGATGAATGGCATAAATTCTTTTTTGAGACTTCTCTATAATCTTTGCTTTTTTGTGAAATATTGAATAACTTGACCTCTTTGAGCCTCACAGTTTTTTAAAAATGAAACCAGGTTAGAATTTCAAGAGCAAATGTCTCTTTGCTGGAACTGTTAACAACTCAAACATTAGACACCTGTGACAAAGAGCCACTGCTACACACTGACTTTTTGTTACAAGCAAAAACATGTTAGGAACAACTGGTTTAATCTTCAGTAATGCATGACATTTTACAAGCTAAACATGCTTTTAATATAAAATCGTATTCTGAAAAGCAAGTAGTAGTTATAGCATATGCTATAAAATGTAGTGCAGTATAAAGTACAATATTTCCCTCTGAAATATAGTGATAAAGTATAAGTGCCTCAAAATTGCACCTAAATGCAGCCCTTAAGTATATGTACTACTATGTACTATGAAAAGTATGCTGAGTGTTTGAGTGTACGCAGGTGAAGTTTTCCAGTTTAGTGAGAACATGTGTTTGTCTTACCCTCCAGCTGTGTGTGTGTGTTCCTGAGGCATGGGATGGAGCGGTACACCAGAAAGCAGGCCAACACCATGGACTGGGCGTCCTTAGGGAGGGCTTCACCCCTCATGTAGGACCTCAACACTGAGCTGTTGTCTAGGAGATAAAATGTACACAATGCATATGAGTATTTTAATTAAGGGTTTTACTTTGTGCAACAGGTCTAGAATTAATGCATTCCTTTCATCACACAACCAGCACAAGACAAATGACCAGTATAGGGAACGAATTATAAACAAAATTCAAGAAACAAAGCTGGCCAGCTTGATTTTGATTAAATAACAGACAGACAGACAGACAGGATACTGCTGACAGACTGTAACATGCAAAAACATTTGATCAAACGTGTTTACCGCTATATAAACAGCCGCTAGTTTAGTGTTTATCTTAATCACAAGCCTTGTTGATTTGAGGAACAACATGCCTCATGAAAGAACCAAATTTGGAGCTGGGAACAACATCACACTCTGAAATGGAGATATGGACTATAATGTTGACAGGTATGTTTTCATTCGTGTATAATCACCTTTTCATTACCTTAGAATGAGCAGTTTTCATCCATAGCCATGTGGAACTACGATGTTTCAGAAGTTGCCCAGAACGAAAAAACCAAACAATTTTCGCAACTTTTATTTTTCCTTTACACTCGCTTGAGTAAAGAGGTTTTAGTTGGTTGCAATCTGCAGTTTCACCACACACTGGTCCTTTAATGCAAAGTTAATACTCTGTTCACTATATCATCATCGTCACTGTTTAGTCTGTAATATCCCCTTTTCCTTTATCTCCGTCATGTCAGCTTTGCTTTGATGGCACACCATTGGCAGGTGTAGCACATTACTAATATTTTCTAATTGCTGTGTCCTTTAACACCACTCCTCACACGGCTACATCTGTTTTTGTCTGCCGATTTCCAAAAGCAGAACTAGAGGCTTCGTATTGTCAAAGTCTTCTTTTTACTGTCCAGGAACATTTTTGTGAATCAACCCTGCCCACACACGGAGCAGAAACTGCAGCTTTTTATGGCAATTTCAGGGATGTTGATTATGCTAATGATACATTCTCATGGACATTTGATGATTAACAGGTGGTATTCATCAGAAAGATACTAACAATTTACGACAAGTTTGAGAGAGTTGGCTGAATTTGACTTGGGACACTTTTAAAAGTAAACCTCACAGAACAACAAGATTTTTAGGGTAAGAACAATGTTACACACATATAACAGTGTCCTCTATGTCAAAATTCACTGCAGCACTGACTTCTGAGAAAGACTAATGCTACTGAGAGTTGAGAAGTAGAAACTAGAATAAAAAACCCCAACAAGGATAGCTCTAGACACATATTTCATTCATGGGTGAGTTCCAGAGAACAGCAACATTCCTGATGCTTGAGGTCAAGTTAGTTTGGTTTTCCTTTGTAACATCTGCCAGAGCCAAGAGGCTTCATGAAACATGAAAGTGAAGGCATGTTAGGATTGTTTACATTATCAAAGCCTTGTCTAACCACTTCACCTGTTTCCCACGCCTCTTAGTGCACATGTATTACTGTAAGTGTGTGTCTGTGTTTGTGTGTGTCTGTATGTGTGTGTCAGTGATGGAATGTGTGTTTGTTTGAGTTTATACACAGTCTGTCCTGACATAAGTGTGCTACACCCTGTACAGGAAAACAAGCTGAAACACATCCAACATGTGACATACTGAACCAGTGACACTACTGCTAAACAGAGCCAAAATATTCAGTCCAGTGGGTGTAGGATTTAGTGGCATCTAGCAGTGTAGCTGTGGATTGCAAAGCCCTCACATCACCGTCCCGTTCCAAGCGTGAAGGAGAAACTACAGTGGCCACAAGGTTCTATCTACAGCCAGTGTTTGGTTTGTTCATTCTGGGCTACTGTAGAAACAAGTCCATAGAGGACTCACTCCCTCTGTAGATAAAAACATACCTGCATCTATCCAAACTGAGCTACCTTCATCCGTATTCACTAACACAACTCCACGTCATCATCCCTCTCACCTTTGAGCCAGCTGTCGAGTGCTACATCCACCATGTTCTTCATGACGGGCAGAAATTCGGAGGTGAGCAGGGCGTCATCGCTGTATGCGGGGCCTCGCAGCACCCTGCTGTCCCATAGCTCCACCACCAGACGCATCTGCCACAGGGGGAAGGTCTGCAGCAGGTCACCCCGACGCAGAGCACTCACCGCCTGGGAGACAACAAGGGTTAACATACCTTCACATGGAATGACAATGGATTGTTAACTCAGTGGTGTTAGGTTTTCATCTGTAAGTGTAGTTGTCACTGGATATTTCAAAACATTACAAACAGATATCCATTACATTTGATAGTCAGTCTTGATTAGTTAGATCTTAGAAAGAATGTGCCTTCCCAGTATTTTGTTTATGGTGCTGCACCAAACTCATAGAACATGCTCTGATGAAGGCCACTAGGCCAAAATGTTAGCATGTTTGTTTTACAAGGCCCAAATAAATGAGTCCATAGATAAGTCAGTTTTATCCTGGAAATCTGTATGTGCCCTACCTTTTTTTTTGCTTTTGGGTATCCAACTTTGAAAAATGAATTAGATATTAATGGTTATTACCTTCATTTCTGTGGTTTGTTGTTCAGTGTGTTGGTGAGAATGTTAATATAGGATTATGTTTCTCTGGGCTGCATGTAAGAGAAGGTACATGTACATGTTTTTTATACATGTAGGGATTGGGGGTTTAACATATGTGTCTACTAGGAAACAGTGTCACATTTAGTAAACCACAATGTAAAGAAAACTTAGAAGAAATGAGCAAGCAGAAAACAATTTCATCCCGGCGGCAGAAAAAAAGACTACACTGGTAAAACAAAATGTGGATTTATCAACGTAAATGGACATTACGTGCCTTAAGGAGGAATATGCCTGTGCTCTGCTGGAAAATCACTTATGGCAGTACTGACAGTATGACAATATGATGTAATGTAACTAAACCCAAACGCCTCCTGACAAGACGTTGGATAACGTCCAATAAGCTTGCTTATTTAATTTATTTATTTTAACCTTTTTTTTTTTACTTATATAGGACAGGACAGCTCAAGACAGACAGGAAAGGGGGACCAAGGGCCTCAGGTCACACTCAAACCGATGGCTGCAGCAGCAAGAACTCAGCCTTGATACACAGGGTGCCAGCTCTACCAGGTGAGCTACCAAGGCGCCCACACTACGCATTGTTGAGATTTGGGAGGTGTGTGTGGGCTCCTCTGTGACACACAGTTACCCCTTCTCTATATATTAACATGCATCTCTGCAGAAGTATAATATTATATTTTGGTCTTAGTGAAAGTAAGTATAAGCAGTTCTGTATTAAACCACTGTAGCAACCTATCTTCATTATTGTTGCTTGTTAATGTAATTGAACAATTCAACAGCATCAGCACATAACAGTGCACGTGTGTGTGTGTGTGTGTGTTTGTGTCACCTGCTCAATAGCAATATATGTGGGCAGCATCTCAGGAAATTCCTGTGTCACACATTCATACAGCATCGCCGAAAACAACACCAGAGTATCCTCTCTCTGCAAACATAACACAGACAGCGTGAGTGAAGGAGTATTCAAAGACACAAACAGGTTGGTGTATACATTATATAAATTCTCTTTAAAATAACAAGACATTTTGACAATGTAGATGGATCCATGACAGCACAAAAAGCTCAAAAGCCAAGGCTAATTAGCTCCGTTTAGCAGCTACAGTTTTTAGTTTTTTTAGTGATTTATTTAACATATCTCTTTTTATCTGCTGTCTCTATATTTTGCATTCTGATATTGATGATGGTGAAATCTGTAAACATTTTATGCTTTTCCATTTGAGCACATATCATTGTGTTAAACAGACGGAGACCTTACAAAGTAAATTTGCACCTCTGTTTCATGTAGTTTTTGGCATTTAAGTGTAACCGTCTTTATATAACAGCAAGTGCATTTAAGCTTGTGCTTTTTCTAAGCAATCTTCCTAGAAGCAAATTTAATAACTTTCAAGTGACCTGGAATGTCTTGTAAATTAAATTGAAGGACTCAAAATTGCCATGTTGTTAAATTCAATTACCGAATGTTACGCTACAAAATGACAATTTTTCTTCCATTTTACTGCGCTGAAACCAGTGACCTCCATCTAATTAACCTGAAGCTTTGATGAAGCAGCCTCTTTACTCGGAAAATAGGAGTCAGGTGGTTAATGAGCAGATTGAGTGTGCATGACGTGCTATACATTTAAAGCTGCCTTGTGTTTAAAGCTGAGAAAATCGTCCAGGTTGCAGCACAGAAAGTGTTGAAAACCTATTTTGTCAGTCAGCTTTCTACTAATAGCAATTGGATCCTACATGAATGCAAAAGTTTCTGTTTTCGATAAACCACATGAGTAATTTCTGTATTTGTGTTTTTTTCTTTGCACTTCTCAGAAATGGGCGGGGCTCCATTGGAAAAAGATGATATCACACCGCCCTCTCCACCAATCAGGATTTTGCAATTTTAATAAAAATCTGATGAAGGTGGGTTGTTGTGTTATTAGGCCGCTGTCAAATCAAATCTGATCAAAGAACGCCCACACAGTCCTCATGAAGCAGTAGTAGCATGAACTGTTTGAATACAGCTCAGCCTTTTAAGAGTGTAGGAGAAACTACAGCGGCCAGCGGAACTCGCAAAAAACACTAAAAGGGCCTATTCAGAGCCAGTGTTTGGTTTGCAACATGGTGGTTCAACATGGCAGCCTCAGTGGAAGAGGACCTTCTCGCTTGTCTGTAAAATGGCTCATTCTAAGGTCACAAAAAAACAGCAATTCTTATTTTCAGATGATTATACACTAATGAAAACATACCTATGAATATTATATTATTTTTATGCTAATAGAGCCTCCTAAATGTTACACAGTGGACCTTTATAGTGGCACTGCAGTTGAAAAGTAATGCACAGATTTTTTTAAAGAATCATCAATGTCGTTGCAGCAGAGGCCAAGAGAGGCCGAGAGATCCTGTGTTTAAATCCATGGGATGTAAGGCAGCTGCACATCAAAGAATTCTTCTCATTAATCTTGTTTTCAAATCAGTTTTTGGCCTTTTGAGTCAAAATCATGTTTGACTGTCTTTCTCACAAGATCTCTATCAAGACCACAGACACTGAACCTTGGAAACTTGTTAGCCAATCCAGAAACATGTTTCAAGGTGTCAGTTCATTTAATATAATTCATTATATAAACACAGACAGGACGTGAGGTTAATACTTCATGTATTATCTCCACTGACAGATGGTGTTGTTTGTGAAATCATTTTGATCTCTGTAAGATAACGTCGCAATTATCGTATACATTGATTTTTTAAAATTAGCCTTGACGTTTACTAAAATGCATTTTTCCGGAAAATTTGAAGCTTGAGTATTATAACTCAGAATGAGAGGAACCGTGAGCGAAGTGGATCAACTGTTAACTGTTATCATTAGTTTTTAACCTTAAAATGTGTTGACTAAGTGGAGACTTACACATCACTAAATTAAAACAAGCTGCATCACAGAAACTAGTTTTTACATAAGATTAGTTGTGAATAAATATTTATACTAACTAATCCAGGTGTAAATGTTATGTAACTAAACCAACAGACAAAGCTAACATTAGCTTGCTATTAGCCTGTTGAGGTTGGAGAGTAAAAACATGGAATATGTCTGACAAATCTGAAATTCCTTGATTAAAATGTTGTTTAATAATGATCTTAATGATACAATAATAATACCATTTAAATTACACTTCACTAAAATAAACAATATACCTCAAATTACTCAATATCAAATTACAATTATGAATTGTAATTATTCTAAACTACATTAGCAGAACTAACTCTGGAACAATTTCTCGAGGTTTGTAGGCTTTCTCAGGATAGACAAATGGATGCAAAGGCATGCAATTAGGGATCAAAATTGCTGGCTTTATAATGCACCTGCATCTATATGTGTGTAAAACTCACGTGTTTCATTCCTTCAGATGTTTTACAGAAGAACTCTGCAAAGGAGACCAAGGCAGGCTCTGACGTGAATGTAGAGATGGCTTCAGGCTGCAGAAACACACGATTCAATTGTAAACTTATTTATATGAACCAACACATAAAAGGACATATACAGAAACAAGAAGGGATACAAAGGATGAGGAAGAGGGTCAGAGAGATGAATGGAAGGAAAGGGTACAAGGAGAAAGCAGAAGGAAGGATGGATGCTTAAGAAGAAAAAGATAAGGGGGCAGGAAGGACAGTGAGGACAAGTGGAATAAATAATTTTTGTTTTGAGCCCTCCCCTTCCTCCTCAGGACCTGCAGGTGTATTGACGGCATACACTGAGGCCATCAGGGAACCAGTAATAGTCTGTCATTCACACAGCTGCCTGATGAACCTGTAGTGACAACCTGCCAAGACTGGACACAACCAGCCACTGGGGAGGTGGTCAATTCAATTCCACTATTTTTAGGCTTTTTTTCTTTAAATGTGTTGCTCTATTTCAAACAGAGTTATTAAAGGAAATTAGATTAAAGGCAAAATACATTACGATTGGGGTCTATATTGTTAACATGTGAGGACATTTCTAGCTGGACTTAATAACAAGGACAAATCTCAATGCCTCTGTTATTATTATTAGACAACAATCAGCCATGAGACCTTCCCCACTCAACACACACAGTATTTTTTACTTCCTGCCTATAAAGAAAGATGGAATTTCAAACAAAAAGGACTTGAAATGATGGATGTTGGTGTTCTTGGGTATGTGTGACACGGGTTTACCTTGAAGGCTCTGACTCCAGAGTTGCGGTGGTTGACGGCGGAGGCCAGCAAGCTCTTCCAGCCTTGAGGGTCATCTTTGTAGGGCAGCTGGCCAGCCCGTAGTTTTACATACAACACCCCATCTCTGGACAGGATGGACCTGAGGGAAATATATAGAGAGATTTTCCTTTAAGTCAACCAAATCAATACATGAGATTGGAGCTTCCACCTGGATTCCACTAACCCATCTGTGGCACACATGGTTTCATTTAAATAATTGCCTTTAAAACCTCTGTTTAAGAATTTAACAAATGACGTTTACTATCATTCGCCCTACACTTACTTTAGATGCTGCGTTTCTTTGCTGAGGTCTACAGACAGTTCCCAGTATCGTGGCCCCTTCACCTTTACCTGCAACAAATAAACACAAATTAGGCAAAAATTGAATGTGCTCGATTTACTTGCAAATAGTTTGGGTGGCATAAGGAATTGATACGGTAAAATATTTATCAATTAGCTAATCCTCAGCAGAGAGGAAGCAATACTGAACTACTCTAGTTTCCACTGAACTACAAAGTCCAGAAGCTGTGAAATGTTGTTCTCAGACTTTACCCGTTTGAGAAGGTGCAGCTCAGGGAGCATGGTGGGAGCCATCAACTGTACGGTCGTCTCATCGTACCACTTGGTTTCCTGAAACGACAGGAAATGCTGTCATTACAACATACTTTTCACACTCTCACATATTAAAGTTACAGCTGCAATGAAGGGTAATAATACTTAGTAATTGCTACATGACTATATGAGCCACATTCTGGGTATTTCTCATTAAGCAATGAAACAGTTTACTGTGCTCATACATAACGTTACCAAGAAGTAGCAATACAGGACAGCAGAATACCAAAAACTGTTAATTTTGAAAAAAATGAATTTAGTTTTATGGGCTCTCATACAGTATGTAAAATGTGTATGAATGTTTGTATTTCCCTAACGATTGACGTAATGACTGAGGATGTTCACAGTGTCAAGCTGAGCTTTCTGCTGTGAATTAAATTGAAGTGAGCAATGCTGTCAGAGGTGGTCCACACTGTGAACAGCAACAACCTCCATCTTTAACCTTCTAGCATCCTTCATATGTGCAAACACTGAAATATCGGGAGTTTAAATGTGCTCTGGCGGGTTAGTCCGCAACGTCCACATGCCCAGTTTGAAACTATTCGGGTACCTTTTTTCTCTCATTTCCTGTCATCTCCCTAGTATCCATAACAAACAAACAAATAACAAAAATGCCCAAAAAATCACTGTTGTTATGAACACTTTCAGTAACACACATCAGCTGCATTACTGTCAGCGTCACATGGTTTATTGCCATGGCCCCGACTGGATGTGTCAAACAGACAGAAGTAGTAGTCAAGTTACAGTAGCCGTAATGTGCCATAATACAATAAGCATATATGATAAAATAGTTGCTTCTCTGCAAAGTTGATGCTCATCAACGCTGGGATATAGGAGAGCGGTGTGTGCTGATGAGATGATGCACATCAACCCGTATTGACACAAAAAGACGCCAACACTGAGCTTGGCCCACATAGAAAACAATGGGTGTGGGTGTTTTGACTCTGTGTGCATTGCCCATAATACTATAAATCTTAAGTACTTTAGTACCTTAGCTTTTGCAGAAAACTGACTAGAAAAATGTTTCTTGAGTCTATACAACTCTACCACCTATCCTCCCATTGGATGTGTACACTTCTACTTTTCTCTGTGTTTCCAAATTTTCCATACATGTCACACAGTCTGCTTTAGCACACTGTGGGCCTACTTTTACAGAAAACCTCAGAAACACATAATGTATTTTTCAAATTGCTCCTTATAGAGTTAATAAGGATTTAAATCAAAATTCTAGATGACAAACTAAACCATAATCAATGCTAATACAAATTTAGCAGGGCCTCACAGTGCTGCAGAAAAACTGGAGAACCGAACAAGACTTCTAAACTTGCCACATCTGTACAGAGCAGCAATGAAACCTCACAGAGGGAGATTGAGAAACTGCGCCTGTAACTCATGAGCTATTTACTGCATCTGTGAGGACACACCTACAGTATTGCAACAATGCCTGTTGAATGTACATGTTTGAAAATGTTGGAGCACTCTAGACAGACTGTGGGATAATAATAACTGAGTAAATATGGCACGCTAGAAAAACATCTACAGTTATTCTCACATAAGCATCTAATGTACTGGTGAAATATGAATGATTGTTTTTTAAATCTTTACATTTTTGAAAAGTGGGGCATCTGGACAAACCACTGTATGTCACCTTCCTGCTTCACATGAGTGCACATGATCCAAATGACATAACTGTGGCCAAAATTAATAGACTCACTGTAGTCTTGTGCAAGGTCACGCAAAACCGGAAGTCTGAGCCACAGTGAGGACTGCACCACAGTGTACGTCAAAACCTTGGTCTGCTACAACAATTACTTTGGTAAAACTATTTTTATAGCCTTTAGTTAACTGAAGGTCGGTTGTTTACTGTCCTACAATATTAATTTAACTGAAGGCTGAGTATATAATGAGGCCCACATAAATATAAACTTGGTTTGAAAAGAAACAAGCTATTGACAAAAACTAGAAAATCTACCTTGTGAACATTGCTTCTTTTTGGCTTAGCTTAAATACCTTAAATGTACCCAAGGGACCTTTTACCAATGTACATCAAATACATTGTTATTCCAAACAGCTTCAAAGTGCAAGTGAAATATATTTCAATTAATATGGTCTAATGTAAAAATCTAACTATTTAAACTCACAATCCAATCTTTAAACGCTCAATAGACTAAGGACCTTCTCCTAGCTTTAGTTGCTAAGACTGGGTGGAAACAATTAAGAGTCAAAAACAAAAACAAAAAAAAAATTTGATTGCAGAACCAATCCAAAGCCTTTAGCACAGTAACATGCGGAAGTCGTGTATATAACCATTGCTAGGGACATCCATATTCCATTTATTTTTTTTTTTTTAAGTTCTCTCTCTATGACAAAGTGATTCACTATATCTCCAGTTTGTTTCACTAAGAAGGAGAATTAGGGGAGAGCATTGTTTCAGGTGAGGTGTCTTCCTGAAGAAAGGGGCACATGTTTGTTAGCAGCCGTTTAAGACTAAGACTTTGCACTAAGAAATCCGATTGGTGGATGCTGCGATCTCTGATCGTCTGGTACATTATAGTATGCGACTACTACCTCTGTAATCATTCTCATCTCTTTTTGGGTCATGTACCAGTGTGGTCTTTATTTTAAACTATCTTTTTCATATTTTATTTTTTTTATTTTATTTTCTTCTTCTGATGAGATGCCACCAGTGTGGCTGTTTTTACGGTGGTAAAAAGTTGGAAATTAGTCGTAGCTAAAAGGTGTGGGCACAAATTACGCATCAAGTGTCTGAACTGTGAGTTCATGGAAGCCGTCTAGCTAAGAGCAATGACACTGACACAAAAAGCAGAAGGTGCTAGTCTGATGGACAGAGGTATTTTTCTTGCACATCACAATGAGCTGAAACGAGCACACATTTTACATTACAGATCATGTTAGCATATATGTGTGCGTATGTGTTTGCATGCAAAACACGTCATGAGGAAGTGCAGCGATGGACAATTTAAGAATGTGTGACAGAAAGAGAATGAGAAAGAGAGCGAGAGGGAGGAAGTGAATGCAATGCGTCAGAAAAACTGTACAAATTGTACTTGGTGCATGTTTGATTCTATAATATTAAAGAGAACATAGGGCAATAGGAGCTTGTCATGTCAACTTGTGAATTTGGATGTTGTCAGACCTCCATGTTCACCCATGATGATGAAGGTGGGTAGAAATAACCACTAATAAACTGTCAAACTCCTAACACACTTTGTGACACCATTTTAAAGACAAACTACAAAATCAGCCTCTACACTAAAACAGTGTTGGCCCAAGTGCCTTGCTCAAGGGAAGGGCAACTATCCTCCATCCACAGATTTGTGGCTACCTGTGTCAGCCTGACCAACCTTTATGAACTTACCTTGTAGGTGACCTCTATGAGGGCGTAGCAGGGCTTCAGGGAGTCCACGTCCACAGGGACCAGCAGGCGTGGCTCTGCAGCCAGCACAGCCAAGTGCCGCAGGGCCTGCAGGTGGTAGCTGCAGCATCAAAGCAACATGAACACACAGATTTTGATTACAGTAAAATATGAAAGGGCCAGACAGATCAAGTATATTGTCTTCTAATAAAATGAAGAGATAAGCACTCGAGTTGAATGAATGAATAATTTTTTATTTCACTTCAAATTATGTTATTATGTATTATGTTGTTAATTACCATTAAATAGGTCGGGTGTGTGACCCTGCATTTAAGAACCCATGTTCCACATTTTCAACAGTGGTCTTTGCTAATAAAAAAAAACAAACACTGAGTCTCTGAACTCAACAAATCCATGTTTTTTGCAGACCAGGAACTGGATCCAAGGGGAACTGGTGAACGGAACTCAGCCCTACCTGTGTGTGTAAGCTATGAGCAGCAATCAAGTAGTTACAACAAATAATTTGAGGGGTTGCGTTGGTGCAGCTAACTTATACAACCTCAGACTCATCAGGTTGTCCATTACTAATTGAAGGTTAACATGTTTTCATCTTCATACACATCTATCTCCACCTTCTAGGACTCTGTGGACCATCACATGTGACAGACATCACCCACTCAGCACCAAACATAGTGAAAGAGAACATTTTACCAAGATTTTGTTATCATACTGTGTGTGCTGTTCTCACCGGTTGTCAGTACTGTGAGCAGGGAAGTGTGGGTACAGGGCACACAGCAGAGCAGCGATGGCTGAATTGGAGGTGCTCAGGGTGTACCTAACATGACAACATTAAAAAAAACATCACAAATAATGAAAAGACATTCTTTTCTCTCTCTCAAAACACAAACACACACACACACACACACACACACACACACACACACACACACACACACACACACACACACACACACACACACACACACACACACACACACACACACACACACACACACACACACACACACACACTAAACTCTAACGTGCTAAAAATTGCCCACTTGTTGCAACAGTCATAATCAAAAAATGCCAACCAACGCTCACACAAACCCAGTGATGGGTATGTGAAGTATACTTTGGAGGAGAATAAAAATTTCTAAATTACAGTGTTCATGACAAAACACAAAGCACTGTCAATATTGCACAATTTTGAAAGACATACTGCTTCAAAATAAACACTTTTTCATAAACCCTCTGTTAGTGAAACCAGGTGTGTGTTGTAATCTAGTCATCGTCATCACAGGCCACAACAGAGCCTCTTAAACATAATAGTTGGCAGTTAAGTGTGTACTTTGACTAATGGGGTCATTACAATAAAGTTGGGTCAGACAATAAATGCTGCTTGTACATTGAAGGTTACTTGTGAAAGTACTTAATAACAGTCAACTGAGGTAAAGGATTTTGCTCTTCAATTAAAAGGCTGCTGGGGGGGATGTATAAGAGGCTCGAACACAACACTGAACATTACATTCTTTCCCCACAAGTTTACAATTTAGGCAACCTAAAAAGGAAAAGATAAACAGGCATGTTTTAGAGCAAATTTGGTCCAAATCCACGAGCATTGGGGAATTTGAGAATTGCACTCTGCATTTGCACTAAAATTGTTTAAAGGATCAGTGTGTAGGATTCAGTGACGGTGCAGATTTCAACCATGAGTGCTTTCGGCTCAGCTTTCCTAAGGAGAAATTACGTGAAAGTCGCTATCTAGAGCCAGTGTTTGGTTGGTTGGTTAAACATGGTGGACTGTGTGGAAGAGGATCTGTTCCCTTTGTAGATAAAAACACACACACACGTTTGAAGACCAAATAATTAATTGAGAAAATGATCGGCTGGTTGATTGATAATGAAAATAATCTTTAGCTGAAGCCCTAAAACATTATATTAAAAGGTATAAGAAAGAAAAATATACACTTCTATTATTCAAAAAAGTGTTTTTCTGCCTTTTACCTATGTTTTATTAATAAATAACACATTTTTACTCTTCACCAAATATGGTTAAAAACTTTGTCAAACTGTGAGGCATCAACAGTCTCACATTTCCAACCAACCAACATCACAGTTTTTCTCTGACCATTAACTGACATCTGCCACTTCACAACTTTCAAACTGACTAACAGCAACATTAGAAACAGAAACTTCCTGCTTTGACAGTTTGGTCCACTTCTGCTTCAATAGGACGATGGTAGCCGTTAAAAGGAGGATTGCTGGCTAACAACCAGTTCTTCTGAGTCACCAGTTCCTTTTATGCTGGGCTCAACATTTACAATCTCTGAAGTATGACCGTCCAGTATGTGGAGCAGAAAATACAACTTTTAGCTGTTTTAATATTGTTTTCTACTACCCATAAAAGATGTGTTAAGTTATACTTTATTAGTCCTTGTGGGGAAGTTTGTCCTCCACATTTGACCCACACTAACTATTTTAGGAGCAGTGGACAGCTCCCAGGGACCAACTCCAGTCCTGAGGCCTGTGTTTTGGTCAAGGGCAACAGCAGAAGTATTTATAATACCTAAGATGCTAGTGTTTGCTTTGGGAGGAAACCAGAGCACTCACAAGAAACCCATGCAAACACCGTAAGAACACGCAAAGCCTTTGGTACAAAAAGGCTGTATGCTATAGTTATCAATAGTCTTAACGCAATGTGTGACTATGATGGAAAACCTAACTTTCACTTCGGTTTCCTTCCAAAAAAAATTAATAAATGGGAAGAGAAACTAACTCAGCAAACAGAAAGAGAGAGGGAGGGAGGAAGGGAGGAATGGTGAGAAAGCCACACGACATAGATTAGCAGTTATGAGGAAAAGCAAAGGTGAGAAAATGAATGAGAACAAATGAATAACAGCGACGTAGCGATAACGATGAAACACGCTGCAAGCAAATATGAATAAAAATGTTCAACGCAAACAGGTCGGGACTGAATGACAGACGAGCAGAGGGAAGAGAATGAAGGAAACACAACAATACTACAATGGCATGAGTGAGCTCCCCAGCATGAACCTTAACCTCAGCAGACCAATAGTAACACACTCATGTCAATACACACTACGGTGCATGACATTCAAACCGAGTCCCTCCAGCTGTGTGAGCGTTCAGCTGGCAGGTCTAAAATAAAACATGATCAGAAGGTTCATCTGATTACGGCTGTAGGTGGAGAAACATTTGCAACATGTAATGAGAGAGTGGGAGCCGTTGTTTCTCTTGAAAATACACAGTGGTGGAGGAACCTGGCTTGGGTGGGTGTGTGTGTGTGTATAAATGTCATTCATTATGCACAAGACAGCACTCAAAACAGACTTGTGTGTATTTGTGTGCCTAACCCACACAGTGTGTGTGCACCTGGTCATTCACAAACAACACCAGTCCCAAATCTGGTGAGTGTGTTTATGATTTAAGTACTGTTGGCATACAGAGATTCAGGTGTCTATGTGAGAGGCTACATGTAGAAAATGAGAAAAAATCCAAAGTGTATTTTTCAGGGACAGTTGCATGCTCAGTGCTTTGCTCAAGGGTTCCTCAGAAGTAATGGTAATGTTTTTAAAATGATGACGATACATTATACCTGTTCTTGTATATGCCTGTATATGTGTTTGCAAGTATCTTATGTGTCCACAAAACCGAACTGAATATGTTCACAGTGGCCTTTTTGGTGTTTTCCCTATTGTCAAAAAATCCTATAAAAATGCCTGTAGAGCCAAAGTCTGATACATCTTATTCCCCTGTGTAATACCAGATGTCTAACCATCGGCTGAAACTCCCCAATATATGTACTATTTTGTATAATTTAATAAAACAAACAGTGCCCAGCTCTAAGTATATATTTATGACCCATTTTTGGGCCCGCAGCTGAGTGCCACAGACAGAATAGGGAAGTTAGAAAAAAATTGTAAGACAGACTAACGCCATGTTGGTTTTTGGTCTTTTTATGGTACTTGTTGACAAGAAGGAAAACATAGAATAACCAGCCTTCTCCTTTAAAGTGTCTTATTTGGGTTCTATTTCTGCATTCTGGTCTACATAGATAATATACAGGGTGCCCAACAGCAGTCAATGTTGCTACAGCAGCTAGGTATAGCTGAGAAAATATTTTATGTTATTATATATAATTAAAAACAATAGTACTGGACATGAACTTGGGGAGATATCAGAGTGGGTGGCAGAATAAAAAAGTGTTTTTTTGCTCTGAAATATAATTTCCAAGATGCAAAAGTAATTACATGGATGAATTTAGTTCATTTTATAGTGTTTTCAAACATGTTTTCAGCAAAACATTTATTTTTTCCTGTGGTGAATCTGTGAAATAACAAATGCCAATTTCCTGTTGTATTAATTTTTGTAACCAACTGTTCTTTATTTTGTATGACCAGCAGTAATTGGCTGCTGTTGGAAAAAGCTTCATATAATAGTGTATGTGTGTGTATATATATATATATATATATATATATATATGTATATATGTATGTGTGTGTGTGTGTGTGCGTGTGTGCGTGTGTGTGCATCTCACCTGCCCCCTCCCAGGAAGAGCAGACCCAGCGCCATGTGATGAGCCATGTGAAAGCCGTAGTTCATCTCGCCGCCGGTTCGCTTGTGGAAAAAGCGACAGAGCTGCAGTACCTTCAGGTTCCCAGTGCCGGCCATCACCATGGACATAGCCAGCAGAATCATTGACAGACCAGTCTGCAGGTTGTAATAGCCCGTCTGCTAGGAGTACCAGTACACATGTTGACAGAGACAGAAAGAACGAGTAGAGAATAAGAAATCATTATCCAAAGTATAAGTAGGTGAGACAACAACATTGCACTCTTCATGACTGTGACAAGCTCATAAGGCCATTCTTACATCAGATCAAAGCACACATTTAAACATGCACACACAAACTTGTAACACTTACAACAGCAGCAGTACCAGCAAAGGACATGATCTTCATGAAGTTCCTGGCAAACTCATAGAGGCAGTCAAAGGCATCAGAGTTGGCAGAGCCGGCGAAGCGTAAGCCCAGTGCCATACAAGCCCCGGCAGTAATGTAGTCTTGGGCTTGGCTGAGAGAGACAAATAACACGACATGATCGGTCATGGTGCGGGACAATGTGGAGAACATTATGAACGCAACTACAGAAGCTGGTGACAAGCTGTTGGATTGCACTAAATTCCCCTGAAGACATCAATTCAAGGTACAACATTCAGAATTCATATGACAACAATTGAAATGCCAGTTTTTGGGCTTAAATACTCACGCCATTGTCTCCATGTTAATGTCTTCTGAAGGGTCAAAAGTCCCCCTCATGATCTGAAAACAAATGAAGAAAACAGTAACAGTCTGATACTTACTGATAATTTCAATAGATAGTATTGAAAACATTCTTCATTTATTGGAAGGAAGTCAAAAAAAGCTGGTAATAATGAGCAAAAGTAAGAAACTGAGCTTATTAGAAATTGTTGAATAAATTCAGTGATTAGAGACTACAGATGTGGTGGGGTTTCACATCCCCAAAGCGATGGTGTCTTTGGTTTGTTTTTGAGAAGGAAAGAAAACTGATTAAAACCATAAATCACATGTGGCGTGATTTTTTTTTCCTCAGCCCTAACCAACGGCCATTGCTTTGCCCTATAATGTCACGTACATCTCTATGAAACAGAGGGGGGAAATATTTCTGGCACACCAGGTTCACACATTGTGTTACGTTCTCAACAGACTATTATTCATTTTATACATACGATCATTTCCTGGCAGCAGACTAATGAAACACAAGTAACTTTGCTAACTTTGTGTGCAGGAAAGAGCTACTAGGACAGTACAATGGCAAATGGAAAGTTTTGATAAACCGGATTTTATTGGAGTAATTATATTGTAAATACAATCACAAGACTAAGTAACAAACTCAGTGTATCTTTTGAGACAAATAAGCCGCCAAATTGAGTAAAATAACCAAACTGATGAAGTTAAACCTGTTCTCCTCCACAGAAACCTCACAGTTTAGAATTATTTGCAAGTCATAGTTGCCAAGTCTGCAGCATCACAGCTCCAAATATGTCAGCTCAATAATACGGTGTGTGTGTATATAAGTGTGTATTTTCTCACCTGAGGTATGTTGCTCTTGACCCACTCAGTATTAGGCAGGATTTCATCCCACATGATAATACACCGAGCAAGAGTCTAAGAGGCAAGACAGAGAGAGACAGGTATACCAGATTATGGAAAGGTGGGAGAAATTATGTCTCTCTCTCTTTCAGACACACACACACACACACACACACACAGACACACAGACACACAGACACACAGACACACAGACACACACTCCTACACACACACACTAACCCTCAGCAGCAGAAACTCTGGTTTGATGAAATCCAGTAGGAACCAAGTATCTGGAGGTTTCAGCCAATCAGCAATCGACCTAGAGAACAGAACCAGAAAGAGACAAGGAGGTGTTAATACCGTCCTTAAACACCTTCTCACCCAATAGACATACAGCATCGTCTTGAAGAAGACAGGAACCTCTTGACCAATAGCATAAGGCTAGAAGATGGAGGATTCTTCTGTAGCGCAACGTGACAACTGCACTCACTGTCAGATGAGATTTTTTTTTTGTCGAGCACGTTAGGATGTTCTGCTCGAAGTTCACATGGACAAGAAATGGATGAAAAGTAGAAAGCACCACACTTTATACACAATTTATAAAACTAAGCGTCAGGGTTACCGTAGTACTGATGGAGGATTCTGTACCGTTAATACAGCTTAATATTCGTAAAAGCACTTGAGTCAGCAAGGGAAACATTTGAATGTCTTGCAAGTGATTCATAACAGTGCACCACTGCACAAAAAAGGGGAAGGAACCAGGTCAATGTACAATGAGTTGATATTTTAAATTATTAAAATTAAAAAAAAAAAGATAGGTGGATCTGTCAGTTGTTTGTCTTTTCACACCTGTTGTTGGTTTTGAGGTAGATCATGGCGAGGGCCAGTGTGGCCCCTGGACACGTCACATCGACATTTATAGTGTCGCCCTCCTGAAATGTTTGGAGAAAGCAAAATATTTGGTTAGTTAGCTAACTATCAGTGTCTTGTTAACATCTAATTTCAACATTTGTGTTATTTGAAAAGGTGTGCGTAACACTGTCATAACTACGTGATGAAAACAACAACATGATACAAATATGAAAATCACCTTTATGAATTTTAATATGGATAATGTGTATGGTGGTTTATTAAAAAGAAATTCAGGAAGGACTATATAATGACAATGTTTCTAAATTACAGCACCTCAAACAAATAATAGGCATTTCTATACTGTTGTGTATATATGTATATATATATATATATATATATATAAATAAAGGAATTGTCCATCTACCTTGATTTGGTAGCTGGGGGACTTGTGTCTCTCCCTATTGGCCCCGGCCTGAGCTCTGCGGTGGCCCCCCACCATGTACTGATACAACTGCTCAGGGACATTCAGGTCTGTCATCCCAATCAGGTTACTGCCATGCTGCCAGGAGAGAAAGGGGAGGGAGGGTGGGCAAGGGAAGGAGAGAGGATGATGATGAAAAAAGTAGAGGGGAGAAAGGAAGAGAGGTGGAGGGAGTGGTGGAGAGGGGAGAATAAAGGTGCAAGTGTTTGGAGATGAAGCGTGAGCCAGAGCCCATCTCAGTGGGAATGAGCACAAGGTATTGTAGTGTTACAACTGAACCCTTTACATGAGGTTTCTTACAGCTAGCAGTTGATTTTGGTTTCTCACACTTTAGGAAAATGTAACCTTCTATACTATGAGAAAAAACTACTGGTCAGTCTAGTGGAAAGATGTGGTGGTCAAGCCAAAAAAGAACCACAATGAAGTTTAATTTCTCAAAATGTTTCTGTGTTCTAAAATATAAATGATAAATAGCAAGTTTTGTGAGAATGCAATTGCTTCTCACTGCAGATATATAGGGACTAATCCAGAGGAAAAATGTAGTACCAGAAAATAAATTGGTATATTATTCAAGTTCAGCTTCATGTGAGTCACTGTTCCCTAAAACTATCTTATGTGGCCCCACCTGGAACCTCCAGCATGTTGAAACAACATTAAGCTATTTCTGCAAATATTTATTCGGCCAACAGAGTGTTTCTATGCGTGTGACTTACCCCCAGACAGACCATGCCCAGGGCTAGTCCAGCAGCAAGTGAATAGGACTCCCGGTCTGTGCAGTACTCCATCTCTGGACCAGGAGGTCGACCTGAAAGACAAGAAAACACACTCAAAAGTCAAGAGTGGAACTGTGGTACAGAGGGTCTACCACTTCTGCCTGACTACAAATGAAGTTAGTGCTTTTACTATTGACCAACAGAGCTTGAATACAACTTTTAAACTATGCAGTCAATTTGGACCAGACCAAGTTATGTAAGGATACATTTTCTTGTGTTTGAGTGTTGCTAGTCTGACACAATGCATGTGACACTCGAAGACATTATACATTATTTTCATTATCTATTAATCTGACAATAATTTTCACAATGAATCGAGATGTCTATACGAGTTAAACATGCTTGTTGTACAGTATACTTCGCACAGTAAGGTATTTAAATGTCTTGTTTTATTAAACTAACAGATATTCACTTTACTATCATAAATGAGAAACAAAAATATCAAATTCTCATATTTGAGAAGCTGGAACCTGCATTTTTGCATGAAAGTGACAAATGACTACAAATTGTCAATTAATCGACTGATCGTTGGAGCTATGTCTATGCATTTTGACAGCAATATTTAGCATCTCTGACCATATGTAAAATTAAGTAGGAAAGGGCAAGCACCTTTCCTACTTCACTTCATAGAATTTTGGTTTTTCAGAAACATTTTGTTAGGATGGCAACCCGATCTGAGTCACATGTCTCATCTCTACCTCTTTTTCAGAAACTCCAGATACTTATTGTTCATGACATCAATATCTCTCAAATATGTGTTTTTATTTATAAGGTATCTTCAGATCATGAAAACTTTCCAGAGCACTTTAAGACTTATTTTAAATTTAATTCTCAGGTTCACTCTTATCCAACGCAACAATCTTTAGATCTTCATCCTCCAAGATTTTTTACGTGCAAGGGTCAATTTACTATTAAATTTAGGGGTACCAAATTATGGAATACCTTTTCCCATCTGGCTAAAAACTCCATCCCTATAAAATGTTTCAAAAGATGTCTAAAAGCCCATTTAACTGCTGTCCTAAAATTCAAATTCACACACAAACACACTTTTATATCATGTTCATATTTTTGTTTTTATATTGTTATTTTGTTGTCATTATCATTTGTTGTTGATGTTATATATTCTTTTTCTCTATTATCAGTTTGTTATTACTTTATGTAGTCATAATATTCTGTGTATGTTAATTTTTTGTTCCTTATAAATATGAAATTTTAGGTGGAGACTTTAAATAAGCCCATCTGGGTTTTCTGCCTCTCCCTGCACTTTACACTATTTGTTATCTTTGTTGTTTTTAATGTAATTCTAATCTGTGCAAAAATAATAAAAAAATAATAATATGTAGACCTTTAATTAAAAACTTTGAATCCCCCTGTTTTTAAAAAGTGTCACTGTATGTTTTTATCTTTTGCACACACAAGCACACACGCAGACACACACATACACACCTATCTCAGACAGCAAGACTTCAGCATTATGTCTGTGTCCTGTTCCCTGGTACACCAGCCCGATGCCAATTACAGCAGCAACCTGCAGAACAGACAGAGGGAGAATTGAATGATTATTGTTTCATTTTGTGTGTGTGTGTGTGTGTAAAAAATAGTGTATACTTGTACGTTTATGTTTGCAGATCTGAATAACATAATCCACACAGACACACTAACAGCCGTGTAATTAGTCTTATACTCATGTATAATCACTTAAAGTATTGCATTTTCACAGTCCACAATTAATATTCTTCCTCATTGCCCTGATGCACTCTCATGTGGACATTTAAATATGCACATTCACTGTTACCTGAACATTGTGTGGCACGTCCAGCTCAGTGGAGGTGGGTGGGAGAAGGGCAGGGATGTGTATACTAAGCAGGCGGGTAATTGACATGTCCATGGTGCCCAGTTTGGCTGAAGACACACCCAGAAGGAGCCCGATGCTGGTCATCTCATGGCCCTGACGCAGCGACAAGGACAGAAAGCTGGTAAATTGTGGATTTAGGGTGTCAAAGAGACAGCTAAACAGTTGTTGATGATATGAATATTATATTACTTCCAAGAAAAATACAGTGTTTTCTTCAAAGAATGGTTAATTTCAGTTAAATGTAGACAGCAAATTACCTCAGACCACGCAATATATGTGTCCCTGTGTACTAAACACCTGCTGTAGCAGAACAAATTACTTCCGATGTAATCAGCTCTAACTGTGAGGCTGGTATCTGAGGCTCACCGTGACTGACAGTTTTCATTAGACCCCTGTGGATCACACCTGTGTGTGTTTGTGTCTGTTTAATAATTGCAAAGGCATACCATGTTCCCCTAACATGTTGTAACAGCAACACTGATATGGGTCATCATTACATTAAAATTAAAAGTAAATTCTACATATTTTTCTAAATAAAACCTTAAACCACTTTTTTTTATATTTATATTTATATTTATATATATATATATATATATATATATATATATAAAAATAACCTGACAATTCATTGCTAAAAAATATCCAGGAAAAGGCTAAACAGCAACTAAATGTGAAAATATTAGACCAGTTCCATTTCTCTAGTGCACTGGTTCTCAAACTATGGTAAATGTATTAATGCTGGCACACAACCTTCAAGCTGTTACAGGTTAAAATGTGATGGTATCATAGTAAGTGAAGGTAAAGTGAATGGGCCAGAAACACTGCTATCATGGCTGCAAACAGGAATATTGGGAAGAAAAGTGTCGGCCAGGAGTATCACTTTTCCACCAAATTAGCACCGGTCACTGCCTCCTGTGTGGGTTGGCCTGTGCCTCCGTAGCTGAATATGGCTGCGCTACACTACTGTATTTTATTTTCTAAAACACATTTCTTTTAAATGAACAACAACACTATAACACTGTGATCTTAAAACAATAAATGGAAAAAAATAAAAATAAATCTAATGACGTTGTCTCGGTTTGACTTTGTAAAAGGCTGCAGCCACAAGGTGAACACAGTGGGATGCTTAAAAGACGAGGGACACACGCACACAACTCCACATTCTCTCTAAAACCACAACCATACGCAATTCTAATGAACTGATCCAGAGTATGTCAGTGTAATTTCTCTTTTACAGCGAGAATAGAAACCGACATAAAACCACCAGCTACAAACAGGCTTCACTGTTAACCACGCTCATAGCTTTCATTCAGACTGAAGGCTGTTACACGCAACTGTCTGTATTAAATGTCTATTGTACAGTTCTGCAGTGTTTCCCTTATATTTGTACTAAATCTGTGTGTGTTACCCTGAGCTGTCAGTATCTTTATCCAAAAATAATTTCTAATGGATCTGCTTTGGGACATTAATATTTTTAATTCCACCATTTCAGCAAGTGGACTTTTATTTTAAGCACATGTATGAGAACATACTTAAATCTCATTTATAAAGAAATTACTAATAAGGAGAGCTTTTTGATCTTCATGGACTGCGGCATCAATTCACATCCTCAATCAAAATGGGAACTGAAAATGAATCAGTCTCAAAGCATGTCTTGGTACAGGGTGTGAGTGTGGATTTGGTGCAATGGTTACTCTTTATCTTTAACCACATCTTTACACTGACTTTTTAATTGAGCAAAAATAAGATTTAGCTTGCAGCCTCCTGTTGTTTTTCTCACCTGAAAGTGGGAAGGACTCATCTCGTTTCAAAGTTCTCAGAGGGCAAGGTTTCGTTTTGACTGGTTGCCTGCCTCTGATGCAAGTCTACTTCTCTCATTTACAGTCATCTAGAAAAAAATGTGTGTGCAGGTGTGTGTGTACGTGTGTGTGTACATGTGTTTGTGTGCAAGTTAAATGAAAGTAGTTGGGTGTACCTTTGTATAAACTGTATTTAAGTTCGTACTTGTTTTCCTTTCTTGCGCTTCTGTGTGAGTTGGTGTGTGTGTTTGTACCGCAGTAAGAAACAGTAATTTAGTGACAGTGCTGTCTACTGTAAACTGCCCATTAAGGTAGAAAGTATTCATTAAACCCAAAATACATCTGCTTCTGTACATTTGTAGGGCTATAAATAAATAAAATGTGTATGTTTGTTTTGCTTGTGCAGTGAAACTCAAGGTGTGAAACTAATGTGCGGACAGTTTCTGCACATTTATGCCTTTGTGTGAATGTGTGTACTGTACCTTGGTGAGGTAGTCATGTATATTGAGCGTGGCCAGCTTAGTGAGGTGTCCATTGAGGCCCAGGGCCATGAGGAAGCCTGCATACTCATTAGCCAGCTCAGGGCTCTTTGGCTTGTTGTAGGCTATCCAGGCTGAGTCCACCTTAAATACCAACAAAAAGAAATTCACATTTTTTTGTAGGGTTCTTAGCTAAAAAAATAAGGGTGAGTTTACAATGCAAACATGAACAAAAGGGACAAAGTTTCTATGAGTTTGTCTAGACTCATAAAAAATTACATAATTACATAAGGGTTTATTATCAGGACAGGACTGACTGTAGAAACAAGTGAGTAATCAGCTGCACTAACATGTATGTAAAACTGTACACAAAGCCTGATGGAGGAGGTAGCGAAGCTGAGGTTTGTGACTGACCTGTGAAGCTGGGGCTATTTTGAGTCCAGCAGCTACTCCGTTATGGAAGCTGGGCCAGCTGGTCATATTGGGAGGAACATCAATGTTCCCGCTGTTCAGATCTACCATAGTGTTTCTGGGAGGAGCACGGCCTGGGGTAGAAAAATACAAATGCAAAGTAAAATCTGGAACTTAATACTGAACTACAAAAATCCTAAGTTGAGTACACACAATATATACATAAAGAACACCTGTTAATGTACAGTTTAATTTCCTGTGGAGCAGAGGTTAAAAATCTCTAAAATCTGCTTTATTCCTATAAGTTATAAATTCCCTGATATAACTTTGAGGAAAAATTTATAAATCCCCTATCCTCAATATTCCTGTCTAAAACACTTCAAATTTCACAATATGCCATATGTTCATTGACGTTCATTAATGCATAAACAGGGTGCGGATGTGCATCATGTTACCTGTCAGGTTGAGTTTTGGGACAGGTAAAGGTTCCGTCGGTACAGGGTGATAGGAGAAGAGAGTGAAAAGGCCTCTGCCAACCGGAAGAGCCATGGTCCTCTGACACAACTGCAGGAGTCTAGGGAAGATACACATATGTGGACAAAAAGAAAGCAGGGAATTAAAACTAAGGAAACATTACAGGCTCAGAGTCAGAAAAATCTATATAACTGACAGGAGGTGCACGCCACCCTTGATTACTGCAGACATCCTATTGATTGTGTACAATTGTAAGGCAAAGACAAGGAGAGAACAGAGACAAACAAAAGACATACACAGTGAAAAAACAAAAGTTAAAGAAAGTGTGATCTGAAACAGGAATTCAAAGGAATGAGGAGAAAGGCACCAGAGGATATTGTATATGTCTTTTGAAATTGCTCTGTTGCTGTCTGTGAGTATTTATGTTGGCAGTCAGGACACACACACATACATTATACTCACTTGTTCTCTTTCTCCTCAATGTACTCATGGTCAGAAACTTCTGGTAACTGGACAACACTGACCCGGACCGGCCTGGAGCTCTGCAGGAGCCTCCTGACCTCCTGGACCCTCAGATCCTGACTCCAGATCAGTCCTGTGACCTGGAGAGGAGAACATGACACATTCTCAAAATTACAATACCTAAGGTATCAACAACAAGCCTTCTTTAGATAACTAACAATGTTTACTGCGCCTGTTACCTCTTGAATAATGTCCGACATCCCATCTTCCTCCTCATCTGCCTCTGTGGTCGCAGGAGGCTCCAAGGACAGACCTGAACCTACGGACTGGAGAGACACAAACACACAAATGATTCACAGACAACCATGATGACAGTTTAGAGAGTCTTATGTGACTGACGTTTCATCTCAACAACCTTACTGGTTTTAAGATTCATTCCAAAGATGATTTGATTGTCCACCTGCTCCCAGGCTTTCTGGTGAGTGTGTGTGCATGTGAGCAAGAGATACTGAGGGTAAAGAGTTCAGCTTTGATTGAAACACAGTCAGATAATCTATTTGCGTAGCATGTCTTTTTCGGAACGTGAAGAGCAATTACACCCTGTTATGGCTGGAGGTCTGTACATGCATGTGTGTGTAATGCTGATGGATTCAACCTCCAGTTATCAAGGAAGGAAGGGCTCTTGAATTACTCCCACAAAGATATTAATGGTATGAAGGTAAAGCATTTTTTGTTGCCATTATAATTACAGGTTATTAGGAGACTTTCAATGTTTTATTTTTTAACATATACACTGTGTATTGCACACTGACTAATGTAGTTATCAAATAAGTAAAAATAATTTCTGCAGCAATGTTTAAAGGCACAATTTAAGATGATTTTATCCAAATATTTCAAGTGGAAGCGCTTTTGGAAATATTGCTTGGACTTGGTCAAGCTACTGCAAGCCCTCATTAATAATGCAGGGATTACATATACTGTTTGTGCTTGCAAATGTTGGGATGACAAGTACTTGGAAGGATTAGGGTCAGACTGGAACGCCCCACTAGGACTGAGAAGTACAAACTGTAACAATGGAATCAGAATTTTAGACTCAGTTTAGATGAATCGTGTGTGCACCCTGGCCTGGTCTGACTCTGAATATTACTTATTTCACACTTACTGCTTTGCTCTTGCCCAGGGTCATCTTGTGGGCTTGTTTGGTCAGATCCTGTCGCCCAATCAGCAGACAGACCTCCTCTGACCAATCAGAACATGGCTGCTCCCGGCAGTGGTAGATGGCCTCCCTGATAGGCAAAGCCACGCCGAAGGGGACTGACTCCAAGTCCTTCAAGGTGAAACCTAAATCAAAATAGCCATGTCCTAATTTAGAGGCTGCCTCCAACAGGTAAAAATTACAGACACTCCAGACATGTGGCCTGGCAGGGAGGGAGTCAGTTCACAGACTGTGGTGTGAATGTGTTAAATTTGCATTATTGTGAACCAGTGTGGTGCCGAAAAAGATATGGCTTCAGCAAAAACTGAAAAAAACACCTGCTTGTCTTACCTTCTGAGGTGAGCCAGACCACCAGCTGCTCAGCCAGACTCCCACTGCAACCCCTCACCTTCCCACTGCTCTGTCTAGAATAAAAACACATAATTAATTACAACAATGATGACTACAAAGATCTGATGAAACGCAAAAAGATTGATATCATTCTTTTTCTTTTTTTAAATAGCTTTCAAAATTAACTTTACTTGCTCAAGAATAGCAGCGCTATGGAGAAGCTTTTTTACGAGCAATTTTTCTGGTCTCATGCATGACAACACACTTGCACATCATGATACACATTCCTGTGAATGGTTTCAATTCCACTGATCTACAGGTAGCAGTAATGTACAAAGAAAATCAGTAATGCATGACCAAAGGCAAAAAATAAGATGCCTGTTAGCTAGTAAACAAGGCTGTATTAATACAGGTTTGAAAAAGGCTTTGCAGGCTTTGGTTTAGGTGAGTGACACTGAATGTAAAGACAACTTTGTTTATGTGCATGAGAACCCCACAGGACACCTTTAACATTTGGGTTATTTAAAGATCCAGTGTGTAACACTCAGGAGGATCTATTGGTAGAAATGGAATGTAATATTCATAGGTATGAAAACAGGAAATAAGACTTTCGTGTTTTTTGCAAATTTTGCAGCCACCGTAGTTTCTCCTACATGCTTAGAAATGGAGTCTGAGGCGAGGGGTATTCAGTTGTTTGCAATGTGTAATCTCACCGTGACCAAATCCTACACACTGGATCTTTAATGCTTTTTGAAATTATAATAGTGTACAGAAAAAAAAAAACTCAATTATTTTTAAAAAATTGTTCTTCCTCTTAGTGCTGTGAACCGAATTACCTTCTGCACTGAGGTTCACTGGCACAAGACTTCTGGCCTGAGAAAGTGGAGGATGAGACAGAGACAGTGAGATGACAGGAGAAAGAGGTCAACAGGTTGATTCATTTGTTCTGTTTGTGAGATGTCGCATCATGCTCATCGCATTTTCACAGCTCCTGAAAGGAAACAACTCTAGACTGTATTAAAGCATTTTCAGATCTACAATGATTGGTTGCTAAAATTTGTCACTAACAAGAAAATTGGCACTTAAATTGCTGGTTAAATGGAGGTGACATTTTGTTCCTGATAAGTGGAGGAGTGTATTTATGTGACATCTGTTGTTGTTTGGTTTTGTTTTGTCAGTGAAAAATGCCAACATAGAGCGGGAAAAAAACAGTCACTCAGGATTCTCTCTCACCGCCCACAAAGTCAATGAGCAATTCTGTGTCAGTGGAAAGTAGGCTGATCAAACACCTCCAGCGACTGCTGTCATCTCAGCACTGTATTGGGTTTTTGTCCAAGCAAAAACAAATAGAGGAAATCAGGTGACATGCAAAACTGCGTCACTGCAAACTACCTTTCTTCCTGTGTTACTGGGCCCTGAAGCATGGAACTATGGGACTGGCAGGTAATAAGGACTGGTTGTCAATAAATGTACACATGAACACAAACAGTCAAAGGCTTCAGTCAGAAGCATACGTAGTCCCAGGATGCAATCAAAGAGAAGTGAAATGATCTTTAAGGCTAGTCACAAAGACACACACACCTGCAGAGAGCTTGGCCAGGTACTTTGATACGTCTGTCGAAGTAGCATTTTCATCTTCAGTGATGTAGAGAGCATAACTCTGAGGAAAGAGAAAAAAGAGAAACAGATAAATACTACAAAGCAAAAAACAGAATTGGTATCATTTGTACAGTCAAAATAACATGAGAGTTACATCATTATATATACATTTCCAGTGACTAAGGTATACATTTTTTAAAGAAATATGCCAAAAGATTTAAATCAAAATCATGATGTTGAAATGATGAAAACCAGGCACAATGAGAAAACATCTAAACCAATCATCATATATCATCACAGAGGGCAAGATCATTGGCTGTTTCTACTATAATAGCATTACTCTTCCTACTGCAGATCCTGGCAGCATTACATCTCTCACAATATAAACCAGCATAGATAGTGTGTATAGGTCAAAACAAAAGCTAGAGCTAGTAACTAAATAATAAGCAAACATTCACATACTTATGCACACAAAGTAGTGTGTAGGCAACACTTCATAAGGGCCTGTCTGTGTGTAACCACAGTCTGTCTAGTATCTGTCTTCAAGAACAGTTTGGTTGATATGAAGCATTTAAATTTAGGCTCAGTTATTGCAGCCAACATCATCCATTTGCAGAGCTGCATTATCAGTAAGGTCAAACCCGTAGACCAGTGCAACAGAACCCACCTATAGGTAACCAAAGGAACAGCAGTAGCTTAAAACTGCAAACGTACAAATGTCAAATGCCTGAGCTTGTTCCCCTGTATTAAATAGTTAGATGTTTCCATTTGTCAATTCCTCTATTTCTGTATGTGATGGGATTCCAGACCTCTGAATCACCACCCACATCTCTGAGTTGTACAGTAATTTAAATAGAAGGAATGGAAGTGAAACGAAATGGCAATTAAGTCTGATTATCAGGCCTACGTCAGACAACAACTGCAGACCCAGGAGAATGTAAGTCTGCCAGACTGAACAGATTCTTCACAATGGGATTGCCTGTCTTAAAACTAAATTTAAGACACAAAATGCCCCATTCAATTGTTCTCAATTTTTTACGCATTTTTAAGGATAATAGAATGCACAAGTTTGTCAGGACCTTTTCACATCCTGATCTGTGTATACGGTATATGTCTGTGTCTGTCTCTCTGTCTGTCTCAGTCGTCATCACCTCAGTCGTCATCACCTCAGTCGTCCTCCAGAGAAACAATAGTTGCCCTTCCTTCATTGATGAGTGAAGGTTGAATGCGTCAGCACCACTCACACACGTATGTACACATCTCAAGCCATATCATAGCAAAATTCATAATCACATGCTACGCAAATAGATTATCTGACTGTGTCTCAATCAAAGCTGAACTCTTTACCCTCACCATCTCTAGCTCACACACACAAGAATGTCTGGGAACACGTGGAAAATCAAACTTAAAATGACTGACAGAACTCCATCAAAGTTAAAGACAAAACACACTTAGACATCATCAAGACCCTCTAAAAACTGTATAACCTTTGACAAATCAAATCTGCTCCTACGACCGTCGAGTTGCACTGCTAAGAAAATGTTCCTTAACCTTTCAGCTGCAGTTCCTCAATCCCTGTGATGTGTGACAAAATATAAAAAATATATTGATTGTGTGAGGTCCCAGCCTGGGGAAATTTGTCTCATTCTTGTTTGTATTGTACAAATTATGATGATTTAAGCCTATGTCCATAACTCAACAAAACCCTGAAATATTCTGACGTATAGATAATGTATCCAAGTTTACTTTTAAAGTTTGCTTCGTCTCAAAGCATAGAAAAGAAGGCAAGATGGAATATCTACTTAGTACTTGCTTTGATTTCTACTATATGTTTTTGATTTATGTATTTTGTTGTAGACAACGAAGTTCTGACGAAGATTCAATTGTGAAAGGTGCTTCTCCATTTTCGGACTTTGAGCCATGCGGTCTGAGGATAGTTGCATGCATGACACAATTTTCAATACTATCGGATCTGTACTTTATGTTTATTTTGCTACATTTTGGGATCATGACTACTAATAATATTCTTCCTCATTTTTTCTCTTCTTTAGAAACACACAATTAATATTGGGCCTGGGCAATAAAACAATTGCACTATGTATCAGCAATAGACACTTCATTAATATCAGAATATAAGAAATTGTTCAATGTCATATCAATAGTTTCACTTAAAAGCATTAAATGCAAACTGCTATGAAAGCAAATAACAAATATGCCCTGGCTCATATACAGCATCATATGCCTTGATAATGGAGCATGCTATGAGTGAATCACCACAGTCGTTTCTACCCTTTGGAATACACGCTGTTTGTCTGTTACATCTCAAGAAAGAATCCACAGGCAGTACACGATGGAGAGTTACTAATTATTACCTGTGATAGATAAAGTGGTTAAATTCAACCTTTTTTCCCCTGGTCTTTATTAAAAATAGATCATTCAATAATAATAATAACTCAAATTATTTGGTGTCCTTGTAGCCTGTTCATCTAGGATGTGTAGCATGTGAATGTCTCCAGTTTGAGGGCCTATGTCTTCCCATCTGTTTCTACTTGTTATTTAAAAAATTAAGCTTTGGTCGTACCAGAACCAGCAGCCTGGTCCTCTGACAGATTCCGGGCAGGTAGGGGAAAGGCAGGATCTCCTCCCCTCTTAGACAGCTACTGAGCCAGCTGAGCACACAGGGAGGATCTGCCCTCAGGAAGGACGGACGCTGCATCTGACCAAACAGAGCTGTCGAGGGATAGAAAGATGGAGGGTGAGGAAAACAGAGGACTATAGGAGAGGAGAGGGGAAAGAGGGATGAGAGTGTGTGTGAGGAATGCAGAAGTTGGGGTGGAAGTGGAGACAAAGTAGGATGCAGGTAGGAAAAGGGGGCAAACATGATAAGGATTGTGAAAACAGAGAACCAGGGAGGAAAGAAAGGGAGCAAGGGAAGAGGGATATATAGAAGGAGCCAGAAGTGGACAAAATAATAGAAAGAGAAGAAAAACTCAAACATAAAGCAAACACTGTATGCTGAGTCTTTATCAGCAGCAGACACTCCTGTCCTCTCCATTCCACAACATCATGTCTTGTCTGTTTCCTGACTTGATACCATTATTAGACTATCATATGGGTCTTACCCTGGTCTATGAGGCAGCTCTCATTGAAGCCACTAATTAAGGAAGGGTAATCTCTCCAGTACAGATCCATGTACTCTTCCAACTGGAGGTCTCTGCAAAAAAAAACAAAAGCAAAACAACTTTATTAATATTCCCGTATAGCAATGACTCTACATATGCATAAACACGTCACATCTCATCTACCAAAGAAATCTACAGCATAAGAGAGTCAGAGGTTGAACTCCACCATAGTGAACAAAGGGAACATTTCCACTCACAATGACAATGTTTCTAATCTTTTATCACTGGGTTATTAAAACTACCTTGTTCCACATGTGCACAACTGGATAGCAAATTGCTCCAGGGCAAATCTAAAAATGGCTCCACATTCTCAAAGAGCCTCTGTGACATTTAGCTTATTTTTAGTAATTAAACACATACTCTGAGTAAGTAGCAGCTGTGAGTCATTACCATCCTGCATTTACATCAGCTGATCAATAGTTTTTAATCCCAGAACTAAGCCCCGACTCTCACCCAATTTTAAGCTTTGTGTGTGCATGTGTGTGTTGCACACTGGGAAATAGTTGAGCATACAGTCATCTAATTTTATAAAATGTATGTATAAACTCATGGTTATAGCTGTAAAATTAACTGTCAATCTAAATCCTTTTCCGTTTTTTTCCCTAAGCTTTTATGCTTTTGTACAGCCTCATTACCCTGTGTATCTTTTTATATTGTTATATTGTAACTATTTCTATAACTTCCAGTGCGAGGGAAAAACAAAATAGTAAAGTTATTTTACAGTTATGGTATTTTTGTTCCTGTATTAAAATGTATAATAATGTTTAAAAAGTCTCATATTTAATACTATATTTTAAATGATATGAATGATGATATAAAAATGATAATGTGCAGTGTTAAGATAGCACCTTGTAGGAACATAAATGTGACCTAAATCAATGTATCTGATAGGTGTGTAGGTAGTGAAGCTGTCCAATCACTGTTGAGAAATCCTGTCCTCACTAGTGGAGCACTGTTACTACAGGGAGATACTTCTGGCTTTTGTCTCAAGTTCTGAACACATCGTTTTCCTGTGGGCAGAAATTTCCACAGGCAAAGTGAGGCTGCAAACTGAAGCTCCGACAGGCTGGTTAAAGCCCTTCCATTGGATCCTCTGCTTTACATTAATCTTGTTTGCTTTGAAACCTGCTACATGAGGATCATTCTTAAAATACCTTATCATAAAATGGTAACTTAGGATATGTGAAGAGGATTAAAACCAATTTCTCCCTCATGTTATTCAGATAAATGTTTTTTAAAAAAGCGCCCCAACAAAAACCTTATAAAAACAGCCAGGATCATTGTTTTTGTCATAACTAGCTAGCCTGAGAGAGTGTGAAAATGTGTACTATACTTCACAACAGCCCACGTACTAACCAACACAGACCAATTACTCTGAAGAGCGCTTAACTCTCCCACTTCACCTGTTCTGTTATTGTCATCACAGCGATCACTCGAACCTGTTGAAGTTTATTGCTCGGTACATCACTAAAGAGCCTTGATTACACACAAGCTTTCACTGAAAACAATAAAATGTGTTTGCCTTTTCTTCTCATGGTGCAAGTTAAATGTAGTTTGGTGTAAAGTAGAGCAATTCTTTCTCTCATTTGTCTCTTCTCAATTTTGTAACCTTTATGTACGTAAACAACAGTTTTTGCAGTGCTTTGTGGTTACCTGGCCAGCTGTTGCAGCAGACAGACGAGCAATGAGGCTCTCGCTCTCTGCAGCTCGTCCAGCTGCAGCTCTTGATAGAGCAGATGGAGAACATAGAAAAGAGAAGGAATGTGAGGGAAGAGAGGCGCTGAACTGTCCAACTTTAGAGGTGGACAGGAGGGAGAGGACACCTAAGACAAACAAAGGACAAACAAAAATAAGTTCAATTGTAAGAATACAAGGCAAAGCACAGTGTGCATACAGAAAAAGGAGACAGGGGAGACATTGTCATTGTCAATTAGTACAATTATGTAACTATTTTAACTAAGGCCTGAATTCATGTTAGGGTGAAAAAGCCTTTCAAATATTAAGACCAGAGGTTCCAAAACCTTTTTGTCTGAATTACCCCCACAGCTCTGTCAGATGAGCTCCAGTACCCTTTCACCAGCAGTTTCAATCATTTATCCATTACTTTTCACTATTGCAGCATACACACTCAGCAACCAGTTTATTATTAGGTTCACCTAGCTACAACTAAAGCAGTCTAATACAACAGTCCTACTATCAATCCTACCTTCAAGGTAGAACCCACAAGAGTTTCTGAGGGCTGTAATAATTGCATCTAGCGAGATGCATCTGAATCCATACAACATTAAGTCTTATTCAAACAAAGTGTATCATGCTCTGACCCAAATATGTAGAACAAACAAAAAAAATCTAACAAAATGTAATTTATCAAGCCATCTAGAGGGAGTTAATTACAGAGGACAGGCCATCAGTGTCCGTTATGACAGTATTGTTGGAGCCACTGGAGTCCACTGGACCGCAGACAGGCTGGGAATTCATCTGATGGTGGTAATGAGACCCCAATAAGTAGTCCCAGTCCTTCAGAGAGAGGAGAGAGAGATATAAACCAGTAAAAGCTGGGTTATCTTATTGGTCAATGTTGTAAGTATATGGCATATAACCACATAAAAATACAGATTTGTACAAAGCAAAATATATGCAGTAATGCATTTTGATGGATAAAAAGGCAGCATGTGTTAGGGGAAAAATAATGGAATTGGAACATTCAGAATGGAAAAAAAGGACATAATTATATATGTATTATAATGTTTTTATGTCGATTTGGTGTATTATTTGTGGCTTCACAGCCATCACCACATCTGGGCAGCACCACCATGAAGTTGAATGGTGAACTATCTGAAAGACACAGAGCTCAGAGCACACAGGCTGACAGGGTCAACAGCATGCCTCAGTTTGATATGGCTCATGTGCGCAGGCACGCGCACACACACACGTACACACACACACACACGTCACACACACACACACACACACACACACACACACACACACACACACACACACACACACACACACACACACACACACACACACACACACACACACACACACACACACACACACACACACACACACACACACACACACACACACACACACACACACACACACACACACACACAGCCTCCAGCTGACCGACATTTGACAGTCATGTTTTGCTCTGATGAGAACACACAAACACACAGCGTAAAAGTATTTTTTTAATGTCTGTGTGTTTTTAGAACTGTAGGACAGACTACAGGTTATTTTGTCCATTATGTCACATGTTTATTTCAGACACATATTGAAACTGTCCCCTGGGTTAATAGGGTTAGTCTACAGTGATGGGCTTTCCCGATGTCCAAAACTGTTAGAGTGACAGGAAATTATGAAATCTGGTCTTTCCATGATAAAATATTATATATATTAATAGTTTTGACTTCTATAGCTTGTTGGCATTAATATTTATTCAAAGCCTATGAACATATAACATCTTTCAGAGATAAAGTACATTTTCTATTACTATAAAAAAAAAAAAAAACTTTACCTTGATGCTATAATAAAAGCATTATTTCAATTATGCATCTATTAAAGGACCAGTGTGTAGGATTCAGTGACATCTAGTGGTTAGGTTGTAGATTGGAACCATTTAAATATAGAGGCTGCGAAACTTGTGAAAAGCGAGAAAGGCTGTATTTAGAGTAAGTGTTTGTCCATTCTGAGCTACTGTAGAATCATGATGGTTCAACACAGCAACCTCTGTAGAAAAGAACCTGCTTCCTCTGTAGATAAAATGGCTCATTCTAAGGTAATGAAAACACAACAGTTCTTATTTTCAGGTGATTATATACTAATTAAAATATACCTATGAATATTATATTCCATTTCTGCTAATAGATCCTCCTAAATGTTACACACTGGATATTTAGGAGCATGTAGATATAATATAGTTGAGATAATGAAGAATGAGGAAGAGAAGAGCATTTCCTGAATGTTTTCTTGTTTTGCACGTAAATTTAAAGGAAAATAAAGTCATCTGAATCTGAAACTGCCAATCGCTCCTGTGGAGTCCCACAAGGTTTCATCTTTGGTCCCATCCTCTTCTCCATCTACTTGCTTCCACTGAACCTCAATCTAGCACTCGCTCTTAGATCAGCCCCTTCCATAAGCTAATTTAAAATTAAAATAGAAACCTAGTTTTATTCTTTAGCATTTGTGTCCACCAGAATTTTGCCCTCTTATCTTATTTAATTTATTTCACTGTCATTGTTTTGGTTGTATCAGTATTGTGCCACTTTTGCTATGTTTTATTATTTTTTAAATGTATTGTTTTTTGGCTTTTACCACTGTACAATACTTCTGCTGTGTTCCAAAATGTGCTCTATAAATAAACTTGAAATTGGACAAAAATGTAATGTCCTTCAGAGGTTACAGGTATACCAGTTATTTTAAAATATATGTCACAGACATATGCCACAGACATCAACACAGATAATATATTAGTCACACACCTCATCAGAGCCTCCGTCAGAGGGACGAGCCTTCTTGGCTGCAATCACTGGAGAGAGAGGCACTTCAAAATGCAGCTGAGGAAAGATGGGGGAGGACACAAAGCAAGGTCAGGACACAAGAATTAGTGATCAAAGTCAGAATAAGCTTTTGTAGGTTTAGAATAGAAAAAAACTTCTACAGCTGACTCACATTTCGTGTCCAGGTCAGGCGCTCTGTGTTGTAGCCCATCAGTGTCATGAAACAGGTGACAAACAGGTTCCACTCCGCATGAGCACTGGGACCACCAGGGGCGTTGTAGATGTTATACCACTTTACCAAAACCTGTATAATAACATATGAACCATTTTTTATGGGATTTATTAAATTAGTCAAGTTGAAAGGCAATGTCAGCAGAGTCACAAAACTATTTTCTTCCTTTTTAAAAGGAAAATGCTTCAAATCCATTTAGATTGAAGTGATTTTAAATAAAACACTGACAATCAACCAAAATAGTGATCCAGGCTTAGCATAATGGTAAATATGCATATAGTTACATATTCCATATGTACAGGTACTTAGAACATAACTATGCTGGCATATACTTATTGACCAATAAATAATAAAAGGTTTGTTCACACAAACATTCCACAAACCTTCATGGCAGCTTCTTTGGGCAGGATGAAACGAATAGCCTGAAGGCATTTCCTCACTGGAATAAAATAGAAGACAAAAGGGACAGAAAAGGTGACAATGGAGAAACACAAGATGTGATTTGAAGAGATATGACAGTGGGAAATAAACATGGTCATTTTACAAAAAGTTTTTCGTTTCTTTGCAATAAACAAGATAATTATGATAACAGCTCTTTTGTTAAGAGTGATATACTCAGTTTGTATATTCTGTTCTTGCTGTTCTGAGACAAATTCTGATCCTGCTTTAAGATGAACCATGTATGTGATATAAAAGTATTCATTACCGAGTGAAACTTCTGGGGCCACATGAGACTTTTTGAGGACCCAGTCTAGTCCAGAGGTTAAAGAAACAAAAAGAGGTTTGATGGCTTGAATCTCTGGACCAACTGAGAAAACTCGGCTAATATAAATTCAAGAACCACAATTAATCATTTTTAATGATTAATTATTATGTTATTTTTTTCTGATGATGCCAATCCTGTTGGAAATTTTTTTGACCTCTTCTCCTTAAAATCAGAAAACAAAAAAGGAAATTAAAAAGGAACCATCACTACAACAGTAATTAGTGTTACTGTGTCTCCTAACAACTCTGACCAATAAGATTCCTAATCAACGTCACCAGGCAATCTTAATTGGACATCCAGAGTGGGAAAGGTCAGGGAAGAGGTGGATAAATGCCATTTCATTAGAGGTAGAAAGCCTCGTCTGTAGGATCGATTACTAACTAATGGGCAAGAAACGCATGGCAAAGACATAAAGCAAGAGACACACACAAAAGGCAGACAGAGTCATACACACACTTTAGTGAAGCAAAAAACAAAAGGTGAGCTTTACAAAAAGCTAGGTGAGATTAAGAACCTTCAAGGTTCATGGTCAGAGAGGATGTTGAGCTCTGAACAGACCCAGGGACCCATATGTGGTAAACAACACAAAAAAGATACACAGGTAGACCTCTGCTTTAATTAGCTAGAAAATAAAATACATTGTCAGCGTAATGCATATTAATTACTCCTTTAATACTCAGTCCTCAGCAAGCATTTGCTAAAGAGACATAAAACCGGATTTTGGCTAGTGTCTCCAGTCATTTACAAGAATTTCTGACTTGAACAATGCACAAGCAATTATCTGTTACACATCAAACATAAGAAAAACCAAACTTTACAGAGCTGCAGTCTGAATTAAACATGTTTGACAGGCAGATACATTCCCCAACAAGACTGCTAGTGTTTTACACAACTTGCAGAGGAAACATAATGTTAAAATAAAAGAAAGCAGTAATTAAACAATAATCCAACATGACATGGATATATAAGAGAGATGTTTTATGGGTATTGATAACTACATTTCGTTTAGATTCTATTTTGACAAGGAATCTATATTTTTATACTTTTTATCTTTGTCTACAGGTCAGTTGGAACAACTGAAGGGGGAAACAGACTTTAGTAAAGCCTTAACAAGGAAGAAAAGTTGGAATGACGCCGTCTTTACGTCACGCATGAGTTACACTGACTCTGGAGTTTATTCAGATGGGAGGTGGCATCAGCAATTTCCTCAGTAACAACAAAGAGGCTGACTCACGTTTGTTTAAAAAAAAAAAAAAAAAAGAGCGTCACAGAAGCTCCCAAGCTCAAATTAATTGATTGATTTCTTTTTGTTTTTTTAACTCAAAAATTGATTTTACTGGTCTGTAGAGGGAATCTAGTGGCTTAGCAGAGAAAAGCAGGCCTTTCAAATTTGAGTGAATACACTGAATTGATGTGGACCGACTTTAACATAAAGCTCATGGACCTCAACACAAATAATGACATTACCAAGTAACAGCAAACATGTATCTTTATGCTCTATTTTCAGACCTAGAAACAAGCACATTACCTTACCAGTGTGTAAAGAGAAGGTGTGAATTTTATTGACCAGAGGAACAGACAAGTTGCGGTTCCCACACAACACATTTCCATTTTCAATACATCTTTCACTTCATCCATGCACATAAGCCTTCCACTCTCATCCCTCTAGTAGTTATTAGTAGGTAATTATTTACATGTGCAAAAAGGTTGATTTTAATTTTCTATATGTGCAACCCATTTCCAAAGGGAGATGATAAAGATCTGAGTTTAAGTTTCTATATAGTCCAATTTTAACTAGCTTGTTTGCCACAGATAATTAAGAAAAACAGATTAAAAGATTGACCTAAATAAGGCATGGAAACAAGAAAATATTCCTGTGGATCTGTTTTTTCTCTCAGAGCTACACATGGACACTTCACTGATGTAGGAGCGTAATCACTATCAGAGTGTGTGTGTGTGTGTGTGTGTGTGTGTGTGTGTGTGTGTGTGTGTGTGTGTGTGTGTGTGTGTGTGTGTCTTGTAATGGCATCCTCAATACATCAAGATTATACGTCACTGTGTAACAGCGTAGGGCAGCTCTCAAACCTAATTTCCAGGACCTAACTGCTCTGACTCAGCTATCTGTGTGTGTATATGTATGTGTGTGGTCTAACTGAAAAAGTACACATTTCAACAACAGAAAGCAACAACAATTAAAGCTGCAAGCAGCGGTGAACGGGCCCTAGCACTCCACGCAACTCGGGGTGTGCTGCGGCCACGTCACGTGCCATCGTAACACGTGCGGACCACAACATGAAACTTTCCCGCAAATCAGATCAAAATCGCCACGCGGCGCTTACTTCCTGTTGCCAGTAGGTGGCGCTCTCACTATTACTGAATATCATCACATAGATGTGTTCAGGGCAGGATTCTTATCAGACAAGTGAAGTTTGGAGCCCAATGGACAATGTACACTGAAGTTATAGCCAACTCCTGTTTTGTGGCGGTACATCAAAATTTGATGCCATGCCACAGACACGCCCACTCACCACATTCATCAAATATCATCAACAATGTGTTTTGCATTTTATAACTAAATTTCAGCTGGATCTGATCATCCTGCTAGGAGTAGAACATGAAAGTATAAAATGTGATACTTCCTGTTGCCACTAGGTGGCGCTCTCACTATTACTGAATATTATCACATAGACGTGTTCAGGGAGGGACTGTTATCAAACATGTCAAGTTTCATTGAGATCAGACCATGTACACTTCAGTTATGACAACTTCCTTTTTCATGGCGAATTGTCACAATTGGACGCCACACCATGGGCACGCCATTCGACGGAATGTTGCAAATAGCAGAACTTTAAATCATGAATGTCTTTAGATTGCGCTGATTAAATCTGAAGTTGATCCTGTTGGGTTTGGGTTAGGGGTCCAAGAGGCTTTTTTGCTTGTCCCATCATGATGCACATATGTACCAACTTTCATACATGTCAGTCATACGTGTCTTGGGGCCTGATTCTGGGGGGCGTGGCTAAGCCATTTTGCGACGCCCATCTACAGGACCAAGACAATATCTTAGCCTTCGCCACGACTGAATTTTGTGCAAAGTTTCATGAGTTGTCGGGCATGTTTAGCCCCCCAAAAGGTGTTAAAATGGTAACAGAAAAGCAGATTTTCGCACGTCGCCATGGCAACATGGTTCCACACGGTTCCACACAAGTTCTTAAGATTGATAAAATGTCATCGTCATCGTCCTAAGGAACTTCTGACAGAATTTCAGCTAGATAAGATCAATCTGCTTGAAGGTATACATAAAAGTAAAAAAAAATTCATTTCCTTTCACCACTAGGTGGCGCTCTCACTATTACTGAATATTATCACATAGACGTGTTCAGGGCAGGACTCTTATCAAACGTGAAGTTTCTTTGGGATCAGATCATGTATGCAGAAGTTATGACAAATCCCTCTTTCATGGCGAGTCGTTGAAATTCCACACCACGCCACACGCACACCGTTCGACGGAATGTCCTAAATAGCACAATTTTTAATCATAAATGTCTTTAGTTGGCTGTGTCCAAATCTGAAGACGATCCGATCATTTCCCTAGGAGGAGTTCGTTCAAATACAACATGTGCAAATCGCCAGAAATGGCCGCTAAATCCAAAATGGCCGACTTCCTGTTGGGTTTGGGATATGGCGCCCACTGGATTTTTTGTTCGTCTAGATAAGATCTACGTGTGTGCCGATTTTTATGCATATTGGTGAAAGGGGCCCCGGGTGGTACAGTTTATGGGCCCCTCAGGGGCCATTTTGCCATGCTCATAGTGGGACCCTAGAAAATACAAAAGTTTTGGAGCATGGGAAAGACTCCAAATATGCGTTTGTTTAGTAGGAAAAAGAATTCCTTCAATTACAATAGGGCCTTCGTACGGTCAGTGCTCGGGCCCTAATAATAGCAGCAATAGCTATAGTATACCTATTGTACAGTATTATACCAGTTATATAACTATTGTATCTGTGCATAGAGTTTGTTTGTTTCTTTGCAGTTGCTGTGTGTTTGTGTAAAAAGTAACAGTAAAACAATCATAGAAAGAATTTCTTAAGTGTGTTTGTGTTTATGTGTGTGTGTCTCACCGAGCTCTGAGGTAGCAATCTCTGGGATGGAGATCCTCATCATTGAGCCACTGCTTAGTTCCTAGAGAGAGATTGTGCACAAATTCAAATTATACACTTTCAGTTCAATTTCATATCAGTGCAATGTTACTAGGTCAGCTCTGTTTGTTAGGACAAGCAGGGCTGAGTGCTGAGACAATAAACTATCTACAGTAAACACTACGCTCAACTATAAATCTATTCCCACTGCAGAAAACATAATCTAAAACAGCAGACATTTTGACCTGTTATAGAAGAAAAGGGACAGGCGTGACTAATAGCCCTGACAGCGAGACAGCATGCACCATTACCACGATCCTGAAACTGAAGCAGCTAAATGGAATTCAGCCATTATTAGGGACAGAGCCAGCGACCGCTGGAGGTCCCTATTGTATTTGCTATGTTTCTTCTTACTTATTATTTTTAGCACTTTTGATTGCGTTTTTGCGCCCCTGAACATATACAAAAAGTCAATTTTATTTGGCAAAGTGGTCAGGCCTGGTGATAAATTTTATATTCTATGCGTCGCTTTCGGGTTGGCCAGTAGGTGGCGCTACTATCATGAAAAATGCGTTTAGGCTAATAACTTCTGCATAGTTTGTCGCACATTCAAAAAACTTATATCCACGCGTTCGGTGAATGGAGCTTAATCTTCCTATATAGGCCCCGCCCACTTCCGCCTTTTTATTTTTTTTCGTTAGAGCGCGAAATGTCCTTAAACTACTTTTTCATGTTCCTCCTAAACGCTTTGTCCGGTTCGCACAAAATTTTTCACCTAGCACCTGGAGACCGCCCTGGCAAAAAAAGTAATTTGAACATTTTTGAAATTTCAAACAAAAAGCACGCTATAAAGTTAGCACTTCCTGTGGATTTTTTGTAAAAAAAGGAAGTGGACCATTTCTCCACATTGGTTTGTCCGATTGACACCAAACTTGGGTCCATAGTTCCACATGTCTTCCTTAAGCGTTGTGCATAATTTCAGGCCATTTCCACTAGGTGGCGTTTATATCTCTACAACGGTATGTGTGATTAAGATGAAACTTGGTACGATGCTTCCCCATGGCTCCCTGAGGCTCACTTAAAAAGAAAAAAAAATACGCCACTAGGTGGTGCTCTTTTGGCACGGTAAATCACTGTGCGGAGACCGTAATAGTTATGAATATGAAATTCACAGGGCACGTGTAGAGTAGTGCCTGAAGCTCACATACCAAAAATCGTGTTTGTCGTGTGTGTAGCGCCCCCTACAGGATAAAAAAACAGCAGCCACGGCGCCACGTTTCACCGATATGTACGAAACTCGGTAGGCACGTGTAACATGCCGGGACGTACAAAAAAGCCTCTCGGACCCATACCCGAAACCCCACAGGAAGTCGGCCATTTTGATTTAAAGTTTCACTTTCGGCGAACTTTTCGCGTTGTATTTGAGCGAACTCCTCCTAGGGATTTTATCGGATCTGCTTCAAAATTGGTCAGTACAGTCAAAAAATGGTGCTGATTAAAAGTTGTGCTATTTGAGACTGTACGTTGAACGGCGTGTCTGTGGGTTGAGGTCAATGTTGGCCACTGAATTCTGTTGTCATACAAACTGATTGAAAAGTTGAGCTGTGACTGTACATTAAACCGCGTGCCAGTGACAACTTGTCCATTTCAGCAGATTCGCCATAAAATAGTGCTCATAACTTCAGTGTGCAATGTCCAATCTCCAATAAACTTCATATATTCTGAAACAGTTATGCCCTGAACACGTCCTCATAACTTCAGCGTACGTGGTCCAATGTCAATGAAACACTCTCACCTTGAACATGTTTACATGACAACATTCAGACATAGTGATAGCGCCACCTTCCGGCAACAGGAGGTAAGCGCTGCGTGGTGATTTTGAGCTGATTTACGTGACATTTTCGTGTTGTGGTCCGCACGTGTTATGACGGCACGCGATGCGGCCGCAGCGCGCCCCGAGTTGCCCGGAGTGTGAGGTCCCGCCCAACTCTGCTTGCAGCTTTAATTAATCTTATTATTTACACCTTTTCCTACTGTGACATGTCCAAATGTCTGTTGTGAAAAAGACTCATTGTCTATCACATGGTACTGAAATACCTTGACAAAGAAGCAAACATCCAGCTTAATAGAAAAATAAATTGGTGTGTGCAATGATTCATTGTCTCCAAGTACACAGGAACCAACACTGGCACTGAATTATCCAAACTGCTGCTGCTGCTCTATGTATCAGATTAAACGTTCAATCACATCCAATCAGTGATGTCTCAGCAGGTGTTTCCTGAGTGGGATCTCGGCCGAAGTACAAGAAGTTTCAACTTGTTTAGAAACAGTCTGGTGTAGACTTAAAGCAGCAACAATGAATTTTTTTTTTTTTTTTTTGGTTCTGGCAACTCCTGTGAACAAAAGGGGTAATGTGTCATTTCATTGATTTCAAAGGATATCTGACTAAATCCAACCTGGTGGCAGGCATTAAGAATAACTAGAAACTAAAATCTTCTCGCTGATGGTTTTATGTGTTTATGTGGGTCACATAGAGGCATTAGTATTACATTTTCCACATCCAAAATCTGAATTACCCATCACAATTTACAACCCATAGGCAGAATACCCTAAATATCTTTTCATTTTACAAAAATGATCAATATCTGTATTTTCCCCCCAAAAAATAAAAAGATATCAATAAAAGTAAAATTTGTGTACCATTGTAAATGTAAACATTGTGTAAAAAAAAAATCAGCATTTTGTATTGTTTAAGTGTACTGAACACAAACACACCTGTATGTGTTCCAAATATTTCATAACCAATTACTGTTGTGCTACTTTAAATAAATCACAACAATTGCAGATCTAGAAAAATAACAGAACCATATTTTTAGCTGTGAATGAAGACTTTTTTTTTAGGATTATAAAGTACACATTATTACAGTAGTTTAGCTCAATTATTCTGAATAGTTGTGTTATAGAGCAAAAAAGGACCACAACATCTTGTTGCTTAAATGTCACATTTTCTCCAGAAGGGTTTCACGGCACAGCTGAACTGATGAGAAGGAACCTTGATAAGAAAATAAACTGTCGACCTGACAACTAACAGAGAGCACCTGGTGCTTTGAAAAACTCCAGCGAACTGCATTGGCAAACAATTGGTCTTCAGATTGACACATGAAAGGGTCAAAGGGAGAATCAATGAAGGGAATATGTCGAGAAAGCAGCAGCCTGAAGACACTGATTTTCACTTCTACACTGGGTAGTTTCTTTTGATGCGAGTGCGAGAGAAAGAAACAGTGACTTTCTCTTAACGTGTGTATTCTGTAGAGTCCCAGGGCTGAAGAGACTGTCTTTACCAAGTCTGACAGGACTGACCCAGGAGGCAGAAACACACACACAAACGCTCACTGCTTTATGGCTCCCATTCACAAATATTACTGGGCCTGAATCTCTCTCTCTCTCTCTCTCAACAATACCTTCAGGGAGACACACACAGCTGTGAAACCAAACAAGGTTGAAATATGAAAAATGTTTAATGACACAACAAGTTAGCATTCAGTCTAGTCCACCTCCAATATGATTTTTTGTTTAATTTCTGCAGTTTGAACCTAATGAATCCACTGAACATCAAAAGATAAGCGTGTCAATCAAAAAACTATGAGTGCTGACTTAACAAATAGTGACTTAAATTGCCAGAGGTATAAAATTAAACATGACTCTGGAACAGCAAAGAAATCAATCTTATGAAACAACTAATCTCAGCCCAGCTAGGAGTCCATTCGTCTAGGTATAGTACATGTAATCTGGGGTAGGGTTCATGTTGACGATATTCAAAATCCCCTTTCAGTCTGAGCTGGTGTAATTTAAACCATCAACAGATTAGACCAATCCTTGTAAACTCAATTGCAGGGAAAAAATTATTATAAAAAGCCCTACTCTAGTAAAAGTGTTGGAGGTAGCCCGCGCACACCACACACACACACACACACACACACACACACACACACACACACACACACACACACACACACACACACACACACACACACACACACACACACACACACACACACACACACACACACACACACACACACACACACACACACACACACACACACACACACCAACTTACCAGAGTGACCCGGTTGCAGACAGGGTCCCGCAAGGCATGGATGTAAGGCGTGGTTTGTTGGAAAGTGTAATCTTCCAAAAACGAAGCTTCGTGGTGTTTAATGTTTGGACCCCTCAGCTCTGACACTGGTGAGGGCATAGCGGCCTGGAGGAGAGGGGAAGAAATAGAGAGGTGAAGCAAAAGTAGGAAGAAAGGAGGAAAACAGAAGGAAATGAAGTGAGCAGCCAAGATGAGGTGACAGAATGTAAATTCTAAAATAGGTAGTAAAAAAAAAGACATGGGTTGTAAAGTTTTTGAGAGATTGTTTCCTGATTATTTCAAGCAGCAAAACTGAATAATTATAAAAACAAGAAACCAAATCAAGCCCCCATGTTTACTGTGATAGATTATCTTTCTCTGTGGAAATTCTTTTTCAGACAGTAAAACATTGAATAGCAACAAGGAGATAAACCGATATCTGCAACTGTGCAGATGATATGAATGCACAGAGGTAAAGTAACACAGGCACAATTTTGTAAAAAAAAAAATAATAAAAAATGCATTACTAGAGAAAAATAAATTCAAGCCTTTGAAACTATCAGCGCATTGAGAAGAATATGTTTACAACATATGGAGGTACCTCATCCAGTCTTTGGAGGTGCCTACTGCCAGCGTTAGCCGGCGTGCTAACACTGTCCATCGGCGTGCTCAGGTGAGGGAGGTGGTTTGTGAGACTGAAAGGGGGCGACAGGAGGCCATGGACAAACACCTTACTGACCTAGAGGAACACCAAAAGAAGACAGAGCAGAAATGTTATTTATAATTGTTATCTACAGAATGTAAAGACTGCTGTGTTTTACACTGCTGTGATGGACTAATCTGACCCGGTCTTACCCTGGTGATTCCTGTGTAGAGAACCAGACTGCCACAGGCCTCCAGGACCAGCATGGCATCTATATTCTGTGGGCCAAAGTTTTATTGTCAGACATGTTAAGTCACTAGGGCAGCAGTTAACAAATATTTTCATTGTTGTTTAGTCTGCTTATAATTTTCTCAATCGATTGTTCGTTCGACGTATTTAAATTGCTGGTTCCTTCTGACCACCAGTCCAAAACCCAAAGATATTTAGGTTTGCTCTCTGAGAGCTTTTAGTATTCATGCTTACAATTAATCAATTATCAAAACTGTGGCTAGATACCTTTCTATATCTATACACTTACATCATCGAAGAGTAAAAAAATAAAGCAGTTGTATACAGAAGAACAAAATTGAAACAAACTAGATAGCTCACATCAAAACTAAAAACAGCCAAAACTGCCTGTGCATCCCCATTGTCTATAACATCACAGATGAGAACGATAAGTTGCTCTTCTTTTTTTTTTTCTTCTCTTTTAATTTTAGGAAAGAAAACACCACCACAGTCCCTGTAGCACCCAACATCATAGCCCACAGTTTACATTTACAACACTGGTATCTAGCGGTTGGGGGTTTTAACACAAAAATCAATACAGCAATCGAGAAAATATAGCAATGCGATATTTCCTTAAACTCCTTAGAAATTATTCTAAAAATTCAAATAAAATGATAACTAAAAAATAAAACCTAATCTAATACACATCCTTTCTAGATCAGCTAAAACTGCAAAAGTAACTTAAAAGCTATCTACAAGTAGGTAAACTGGAATTGAATTAAAAACAATAAAAACATTACAAACATTTCAAAATATAATCACACACACACACACCACACACACACACACACACACACACGTTTTTGATATGTAATGGGAGCAAATAAAGGCGTAATTATATCAGATGGAACATCTGGTTGCATTAAACAGGATACAGTAACGCCTCCTACGCAGTATTCACAACTTCACACTTCCCACACAAGAATTTGATGTTAAATAAATACACGGATGCTACAGCCCAGTGATGAAATCCATACACAAATATATACATATCACAAAAACAGAGACAGTGAAAGCAGAGGAGTCTGAAAATGTTCATAGCTGCCAACTGCATTGTTTTCAGAAACATATTGAATATTTCTGTCTGTCAGTTTTCAGTGGTGGCAGTGTCAAACCCAAAAATCCCGGACTACGCTTGTTTGCAGATATTTCAGTCTAACTAACGCACACAAATGCATAACTCACTTTATTTTATTTAACTTTTTGGTTCACTACCAACTTTTGCCAAATATATCTAACTGAACATCACTGTCTACTCTTCATCACAAATATGCCAACAAAAAGACATGAAATGATCTACAACAAGTAAATTGGGTGGGTATTGATTAGGAAACGTATCATGACCGCCCTGTCCAACTCTCTGTAAATCTTATAATTATATTATATTTTGTAATATACCTGCAGTGGCTCTGCATCTTTGGCAGGGATGGTTGTGACGGAGGTGAAGATGAGTTGAGACGTATCGTTGCTCTCAATAAACTTCACACATCTGTGGAAACAATGAAAAAGTTTTGAACTTGTAAAGATGTCAGGGGGGAGAGACAGACAAGTTTGTCTGGTGGTCTATGCATTTGAGTGATCAATGTTTCTGTAAGGACCATTAAGTAACTGTTATACTGCTCTGTAGGACCTTAAATTTAGATCATTTGAGACTTTTCCAGACTCTTTATGGGCCCTGAGGTTCCATAATATAAAGTACGTGCATGCTAGTGGAGTCTGTATCAAATATTCATTGTGTTTGTTTGTTTACCTGAGCTGTTGGTGAGACTCCACCAGGAAACAGAGGTAGCGGTTCTCACAGAGGTCAGAGGTCAGGAATACTTTAGACGCCTGGCTGCTCATCTCCCTGAAAAAAGGTGAAGATTCATGTGAAATAACGGCAGTTACTGAACAAGAAGAAAAGCAATAAAACACAACAACACAAAAAAGGGGATCAATTTCACAAACATTTTGATAATAATCTACTAACGTTTACCATCGCTGCCAGGAGCAAGCTTAAATTATCTTCATTTCATTTTTGAGCTAGAAGTGGTCGGGACCTTTTAAGTCGGTGAGAATGGTTCTAGGTATATAGTAGAGGTGGGCAATCTATATCGTTTGCGATAATATCGTCATTGTTGTTTTGACGATGTGCAAATTTCCATTATCGAGTATTTAAATTACTTCGCCAAAAACATTTAAACGCACGCGAAAACTCCTCACATCCACTTAATACACGCATGGCAGGATTCAGTCTCACAACTAGTGACCTCTCGCTAGCATCCTCCTTGCAACAGTTTAGCAGCGCGTTGTGATGGTAGAGAGAAAATGCAAGCACCTCCAGTCCCTGAAGCTACCGGTACTTCAGATGATTTAGTGCCGAGACGTGGGTCTACCTCTCTGGCAGAAGAGCGCTGCAAGTTGAAATCTGTTCAACTTTTAACACCGCTGGGCGCTCAGAAAATGAGTTTTTGAGCGCTCTAAGCGCTAAAAACGCGTTTGGTGGACACAAGCCCTAACTCAGACAATTCCAATCACATTTTAAAGGATATCGACTGATTATCGTTATTGCCAAAATCCCAAAAAATAACAAGATATTATTTTTTGCCCACCCCTAGTATATAGCTCTCTTTTGATGCTGTCATTGATTGGTCAACATAAACCTTTTAGTAGTTCAATAATTCTAAATAAAGTAGCTGTCCAGTCATGGCAAACTGCTTCACTTGACTGGGGTTTGTGATTAAAGAATAAAATAAAATTACATTATAAATAAGTATTTATATTGATGTTCTGTTATTCAAAAAGAACACATTTCTGGGTTTCTGTTGAAGATGCAGGTAATGACAGATGGTGACACACACTTTATGAGAATAAGCTGATACATTTTCTGTAAATCGTAAAAGCTATGTGTCCTGAAGCTCAGGTGTTATAACTAAGTCAAAGGCTACGTAGCCTTACATTACTGGACTTGCCAGAACAAAGGGCATCAATCACAAGACAAAGTTGAAAACATTAAAATCAACTCTCAATACTCGCAATCATTTTCAGTCACTGATGTAAGTGAATCAAGTGCCTGCACAGACTCTGCATCTGTTTTCAGTAGGGTTCAGTCCATGTAATTACCTGTGACAGCCAGCTGTGACCGTCTCACTCCACAGCTGCTCCATGCAGAGGTCGGGTACAATGGGCTCCATCTCGGGCACCAGCACCGTCTCATTGACCGTGCTGTTGGGAGAGGATAACAAGCCATGGTGCCCCCTCGGGGATGGGCTGTGGAAAGAAGTGTTAAAACGAGAAGCACCCGAAAAGGACGGAGCCGCCATTCCTGGAGAGTGGGCACGGCTGGAAAGGTAGAGAATACAAAAAGAAGAAAGGGGTGAGTTTTTGACCACTAGAAACACTGTGGAGAAGCGTTTTGATGAATGGGTCTTTCAGATGTCATTTGTGTTCACACACAATACTAGATTTGCTAAATTATTTGAAATGAATCATTTGAAATGTTATGTTTTCAGGACATTTTTAAATCCCCTCCTACCTGTCCTGTCATCTATGTCACAGATGTGTTTTCTAGATTGCTTCTTTAAAATAAAAAAACACAAAGTGCCTCTATTCACCTGAGGGCGGCCATGTTGGATATACTCGGGGAATGAACACGAGAGTGTAATCCTGGTGAAGACGTTATGACCCTGCTCTGGTGGCTGTGCAGAGCGCTGTAGTGGAGAGGAGAGCTGGTACCAACAGCACAACTAGGAGCAAAAAAACAAGGAGGTCAGACAATAGCAAGGGACCAGACATGCTTTCAAGCGGACAAATCTATGTTTATACTTCTTTTCTGTACTTGATTTTGTTTTTGTCAATCTCAAGTTGTCTTCATTATTCATTCATTCAAATGTCGGTCCTAAGATAGATCTGTGACAGGATTGACTGTCTCATCTTTAATTGTGTCTTTTAGTCTCGATGCATAGATTTTACTGAACTGCTATTGATGTTGTCTTGGACAGGTTTTGCTTTTGATTTAGTTTAGATTTTTTTTTTTTAAATAGTTGCACACATGATTGAGGACCTTCCATATGAAAGCCAAATGCCAAATTGCAGGGCCTAACTAACACCTAAGGTGATGTCATTAAATTGATTAAAATTATTAATCAATTATCAAAATAATTGCCGACTAATTTTAACTGTCTACTGACTAATTGATTAATCAACTAGTTCCACTTCCACTACCTTGTTCCAGTACTGGGACCAAGCCCGGTTGCCCCACTGCCACCAGGGGAATCCAGGCGGGAGATATTACGTAGGTGAGAGGTCAGGAAGCCCGATGCCATCAGACCCAACGGCGTGCCAACTGGATCCGCTGTACACCGCAGGACAGTAGAACGTTCCTGGTGGTAGTAAACAGCTGGAGGTTAGGGACAGGTAGAGTTTCTGTTTTTGTTTGTGTGTGTGTGTCTGTGTGATCACTCACATCAGGCGTGACCTTGCGCAGGGCCCAGACGGAGTGTATTCCCTGTACAGTATCATAGGAGACAACGACAGAGGGCTGACAGCAGCTGAACACTATCTTCATGTTGGCGTCAGACGCATACTGCACACGGGAGCCTTCAAACAGACCTGGAAAAACGCACACATACACAGAATCAGGTCAGAACTACTCATTCAGAAGGGTCGAAAGAGACAGAGAGTGTGGGAAAGTATGCGTGACTGAGTGATTGTGTGTGACTGTGTGTCGTACCTGTAGGTTTACACACTACTGGTGCAATCTCGTCTACAGGATGCAGCATGCTGAACACTGTAGGCAGAGGTTCCCTGTAGAGAAAAAGAGCTCAGTGACTCAGTTACCTTCCAAACTCTGTGTGTGTGTGTGTGTGTGTGTGTGTGTTTACATGACTGTGTAACTAGGGAGGTCTTTAATGTAGACACACATTTTTAGGTTTTTGCTCTTTGATCACTGCATCACTTCACATGGGTGTTTGGATTCGTTTACTGTTGCTCTTTGCTGCGAGCTTGTGTATGCATATGCATGAGTGTGCAGTGTTATTGTGTACCCGGGGGCGCCAAGTTGTGCATCGGTCGCTGCGTTTTTTCTTTCCAACAAAAGTCCAAATTTGGTTGCCCAGACATTTGAGACCTGTAGGAGACAAGACGGGATAGACTTCTTTCACATATTGTAATTTTGTGGTGTATTAATGATAATAAAAATGTTCACCTTTATTGTTTAAATTTTACTTGATTAAGCACAGACACAAATGCCATTTGTACATCTTGACAAGCAGACATAGGCAACTCTTTAAACCTGCATTAATTGATTTCTCCAGTCACTTGAAACAAGTTGCAAGCACAACATATAATCACCTTTTAGTTAGCAAACAGTTTTAATTAAATGCTCCACCATGTTCACCAGCTAGTCACTTGTGGACAATGACAAACAGCTGTGACCAAAAACTACTGAGAGTGGGGAGAGTGAACTGAAACAGTGAAGCTGCAGCCAGACAGCTAAACAATGAGCTGCAACTCACTATAAAGCTGAGGGGAGCTGCAGATTCGGGCGATAATTCTCGGTAGGTTTATCACTACGAGTGACCACTTTCCCATTACATATTGCCCTTTGATACATTATTATAAAAAATATCGATCATAGCCACTTTACAGTCTTGTTTGGGATCTAGTTTCCATTACAGAATACTAGGAGTGGAATGGTTCAAGCTAAAAAATCTGAATCATTCGGTTCGCTAATCACAGCATCAGGGTGTGTATGTATTGTTCAGGTCATTTGAAATAGACTATGAGGTCAAAAAGGCATGAACAGAAAAGGAAAAAACTTCAAATAAAGTTACTGCGCGAAAAAAAAAAGGTTCACACTGATATCTCAGTGAAACTTCTCAGTTGACATTGATGCAGTGCAGGGTGCAGCTGTCAGTCAGTCTTGGAAATGGCAAGTGGACAAGACAGAGTAGCCTCGAGTTAGAGGATCCCCACACTGCTGTATGGGAGCATTACGCACTTAGTGTTACAGTTACAGTGTAACTGTTTGCACGCACTGTGCAACACGTTATGCTAGCAGTAATACTTCCAATACAATAAATCATTTGTGTTGACATGATTCCAGTGTGTCCGCTGACAGCACAAGGATGAGACAGTCTGGTAGGAAAGAGCAAATCCTTTTCCCCACAGTATTTAAACAGCCTCTGCATGCAGATTCAGACAATATCAGGGGGGTTTACAGCAAAAGATATGCAGCCATATGCAGTCGTGGAGGATGCAGGATTTCAGCATATCATTAATGTGGCCATTTTGTGCTTTTCTTTGCCACTTCCTAAGACAGTTGAAGGGTCAACTAGAGAGGGTTTCAGTGTCAAGGACACCCCATCCAGGGGATGCTTCCTCCTGTTGCAAAGGCTCTCACAAGGATTTTCATACTCTGTTCAAAACACCAAGCTGTTGTCTGCTTGCCTCTTTAATCACTTCAATCACTTTATGAGAGTGGGTGTCATTTCCGCTACTAAATATCCAACACTTCATCACCACCTCCATAGGCCTCAAGCAAGAGAAGCAAACACAGGAGGAAAACATGATTTCCTCTGAGCAGCCCACAAACACCGTTTCTACAACTTACCGAGATCTCTCTCTCCCTCTCTCTCAGACACACACACACACACACACACACACAGGTATCTGATATTGATGGGGTTCATTCGCATTGTCAGCGATCCAAAATTTTCATTATTATCAGTTAGCCAGACAATGGTTCAGCCCTGGGGAATAGCACTAATCTGACTAACACACACACACACGCACGCACGCACGCACACGCGCACACGCACACGCACACGCACACACACACACACACACTAAAAGAAGCAGCATCCGGCATTTATATCGAAAAGAAACAGCTAGGGACTTTTTACTCAGTGGAATATACGAGTCAGATAGCATGACCGTTTGAAAACACTGCCACTGATGTTACACCTACAAAATTAGAAAGTCGTACAATACGACTGGGCTGTCTGTGGAAAGTTAGACCAAAGGAAACCAAAGTGACGAGAAAGGAAAATCCAGCTAGCTGACATTTAGCTGATGCTTTAGAAACTCTGCAAGTCTTGACTTTTCTCTTCCTGTAGTATGAAAAAGTCCCCACTAGTGCTCTCTCACCTGGAAGGGTAGCGGTGATATGAAATCCTTCCCGGTCACTGTGTGAACATTGACACAGCTACTCTGGACGATACACACAGTCTGCTCCACTTCCTCCTCTGCAAAACAATATTAAAGATATCTTCTTTATTAACTTTAATTTGAACTGTAATGTAAATTAATTGAAATTAACCTGAAACAAGACTTGCTTCTCAATAAAAAAAAAATTTTTTTAATGATACAGTACCCTCTTTCTTGTTCTTAGGAACAGCAAAGTTACACCATAAGGCCTGCAGACAAAATAAAAAGAGAGTCAAATCCTACAAATGTTTGTTTGAGATGTAATTGACGTCTACATTTTCCATTGAGTCTCAAAAAATACTAATCAACACCCTTTGCAGAAGAGCATCACAATGGTTTATGGTGTAAAGACAGCATTCAGTAACCGACCTGCTGCACTGGGCTGTCGACGGTGAAGGCCTTGTACACGTTGGAGGCTTGGGTCCGGCTGCCCTGGCTCCAGACGACGACGGTTCCTGCTGTGTAGAGCTCCTCTTCGAACTCCACATCCTCCTCCCTGACTCTCATGCACCCTTTTCTAAGCTGCCAGCATTCCTGCCAATCAAAATACATCCATTGGGTCAACACAAGGACAGAATCAGAAATACAAACTGTACAGACTTGAACTTGGTAGTATTATCTATTGCAGTTATTATATCAATTACAATGCTACTTTTACACACAAAAACAAAGATTTTCAGTTCCATGCAAGAACATATTATATTTCCTTACTTTCTGCTGTTGGACTCTGTTATTATCCTTGTATGCTACTTTTTCTAGGTGTTTCTTTAATGCTTAACAAACAGAAGTGCTTGTAAAGGTGGAATATTAGTACCATTATGTAAAATGTAATGCCATTCAGTCTCACCCTCTCTCTCTCCTGCAGACTAACTTCCTGCAGGGACCCCACCAGGCCGGCGGCACCATCTGACGACCAGAGCTCGGAGGCGGGCTGGAGCTCTCTGAGCTGCAGGTTGAAGGCATTTGGATGGTTCCTGCAGTGCTCGCGGCCAAATGGGACAAACGACTGCAATTCCCCTGCGGCGATCATCGTGGCTGTCTCTTCATACACGACTTCCGACATGAGTTCCAGATATCAGCATTATTTCTGGGAAGAAAGGGGGATGAGGAAGGCAGAAAACTGTTTACAAATAAGCAAGAAACCTTTTTCAATTTACTGGCCACATATTCTACCAGAAAGTACTGTTGTGCATGTTGTGCATGAGTTTCTGTGCCATGAAAGAAATCTAGAGCCATACCTCTACCAAGTGTCGTAAAAACATCCAAATCCTTAATATGAAACACCTTGTACAAACACATAAAAAAGGTTTTTAACCAAAATAATAGCTAAATTAAATATTAACTTAAAATTGCTGTAGATTTGGCAATACTGTACTAACCTATTGTCATGCCAGTGATGCACAACTTTAATCTGAAAAGGGAAATCCTAGCACCCAGTCAAAAAGAAGACAGCAGTGTTTACACTGGAGTTAGCAGGTCAACACAAAGACACACAAGAGTCCAGCTTCAAGAGCATAAAAACAAAAATCGTAATGAATTCAGAAAACAAGAAGCCAGAATCTTTCTAACAAAGCCGAGCTGATTATAATGAGCAGATTCACATGTAACATAAGATTAACTATAAGTGCTGTGTGAATAACTTTCACTTATTTCTATCTAGTTTAATTTCCATATCACTAAGTTAATCTCATCTAGGATGAAGACCCAAAGCAGGCTTTATGTTAGTTAACGTCACGTTGTCATGATATTGTTGGGATCCGCAGAGTAACACTGTTGACTCTGACACACGCTACATGCTAGCAGCTAGCTGGGAGTTTTCCACTCAAAAATGACCCCAACACAAAGTTCAGTATTTGACAGCCACTACGATGCCCTAAGTTATCTCAATAAACATGTTGACAGTCAGTTGGCTGTGGTTGAGAGGTCAGCTATAAAGTACTTTAGCATTAGCACGCTAATGCTAAACACCCGTAGAGTACCGTTGGACGTAAGCTAATGTTAGCTTCAGCTAGCTTTGAGTTAGCGGGGAGACATTTAGCCGCTAACCTGATAATAAGGAATAGTCTGGCTCTTGTCGCGGAGTCCTTTTCTTTCCTTTGTATGATCCTTGCTTGAGCACAACGTCGTCACCAGCGCCAACATTAAAACAACTCGGACCAGCTGCCAAACTGTGGATTTGGCTACAGCAGGTTTTTCAAATGAGCGCGGACATCTTTGCTGTCCCGACACTCTCTTCCTCCAAGAGTCAGCCAATCAGCAGCGAGGAGGACGGAAGGACAGCGCTGATAGGCTGCCTCCACCACGACGCTTCATCCAGAAGGTCTTATCCATCATCCTCCCTTTTGCCAGGTGTAGAGCTAGATCAGGAACATTGTGACTATTTGGGACACTTAATAATAATTAATCTGCCTGCCATGTGCAGTGGACGCCTCATATAGTCACACGTTGTATACATCCATAAAATGGGAATGTCATACTGAAATGTTGCTGCAGTGGCTCAACAGTATTACTAGTGGCTCATTCTTACCATGAATTTAAGATAAACCTTCTGCCACTACCTTATTTGTTGAAAAAATGTATATATTTCTTGGTCAATCAAATAATAATAAAAAAAAAATGTAATTAGCTTGCTTTCTTTCTTTCTTATTTTTCTTTTCTATTATTTTTTGTAAAATGTTATGGCCACGGCACATAATATATATTGTAAATTACGTTTTATTGGTGACATAATCATATTGACATAGAAGATATACAAGATAGACTTAGTGGGTTGACAAGAATAATATTACATTACAATAATACAAACATACAATAAGACAAAAACAATGATGATTACAATTATGTATGTAATGATCAGGAAGTAGATATTAGTAGGATAGGAGTGGGTAATGTGAGATTGTATTTGAAAGTTGGGATGGGGGTAAGGGGGACTGTGTGTGTGGCAGAGAGGAAGAAAGAAGCAAAATAAAGAAACAAAAACATATATATATAAGTAATATATACATAGTCTATATATACACATAGTCTATATATATACATATGTATACAAACATTACAAATACAAATATTTTTGTCAACACAACAGGTATTATAACTAGAATAGGAAGCAATAGCACCACTGGGTTCCTGCTTTCTCTCCATGTTACGATTTCTGTTGTGTTGTTTATGTTGTTTATTTACGAGCTGAAAAGACTTCCTAGAAAGATTTCACTTTTGCAATCCACCACTGAGGTTAACAACCTGGTTGGATACATTTTACCAGTCATTGGATTTTGTGTGAACTCATTTTTTTCTCACTAACATAAGTAACAGCTTGTAAAACAGTATGCAAAATGTAATTATATGAAGTTTAATTGTTAGCTAAAATAAATAAGTTGATATTTATACGGGGAAGTGGTGAGTAATTGCCAGCGTTGGTTTAAAGTCACACTAAGATTCAGACTCAGACAACAATTATATAACAATTTTATATTCTATTTTTATGTTAGATTATGTTATTTTACTTTTCCAATAGTTATTTGTAGTTTAAATTTAGATTTAGGTAATTACTGTAATTATTAAGTACAATAATTAATTAGAAATTCTACATGAACTTTCTCTAATTAATTAATTTATTCCATGCAACAAGGTTCTCCAAAACACAATCAGGTCATCTCCATTACAGTCTACAATAAAGTTGTTGACCGAACAGACAAACAGACAGACTGCATACTGTACTGTATCATGTAACTCCTTCTGCGTTTAAGAAATCAAATTCAGTAAAAGGTGGTCATGAAAAATTATACCTGAGTGGAAAATGAGGAGTCTGGGCGGTACGGGTGCTGATGGATGTGATGGATGTCGCACAACAACATGGTCTGATCTGACTGAGTTAACTCTCCCAGACAATATCAGTGGAGCTCCCAGGGTGGTGTGTGAGTCAGAGAGAGAAAGAGGGAGAAATAAGGAGAGAGAGCGAGAACATTTTATCTATTAAATCTAAAAAGGAAATTTTAAAGAGAAAGGAAAAATATATATTTTCCCCAAATACTGCATTCATTATTCCCTCTCTGAATCACAGGCGTTCCCTTTTTTCTACACACTATTTTTGCATTTTTGTATTTCCTAATTAATCTGGAGACTAAAGGCGATGTCAGTTTCTGGCCTTGAAGAGCAGCACAACATTTTTATATTTTACATTTACAGACAAAAGCATCATTTTAACTTAGACATGTTTAAGCCCAGGGAGAAGTGTAATTATGTTTTATATTTTGTGCTCTCAATATATAGTAAAAAGCATTGTTTTCCTATGTTTCGATCACTTGCTCTGTTCAGATCACTGAGTAATTATTTGTTGTGTGGAGACAAAAAATAGCTTTTTCATGAACTTTCTTTTATCTGTCATACTACATTTCTTGGGATTACAAGAAAACTAAATAATCTTCCCTAATATATTTACTGTATTCACCACACAGAGGATTTCGGCAAATTGTAATAGAAGGGTCCATTTGTACTTGATCCAGTGGCCTAATCAGCATCAGCTTCTGGAGCTGGGGATTGTGGGTTCAAGTCCCACCTGGGTTGTTTCCTCCAGAGGTCTCTTATCTTGACCCTGGGGAAACATACATACACAATACAGAGTTATGAAAACAGCAGTCAGTTTGGTAAATTGTCCTTAAACGTTGCATTGTATAAAATGTAATCTGCAGATAATGTATTTCTATCGATACTATCAGAAAACAGCAAATCCATGAGGAAAATATTATAGTTTTTCCAATAATTATTTATCAAGTTGTTATTGTGTCAGATAAAATTGCCTTTTTTCATGCTGCCTTTCCAAGAAATAAACTTTACGGTAACTCTAACTCAACAACTTACGTCCATACAACCATGACAGACACCTCATTATACTCGTTTAGCTGCAGCAGGTTGGCTGTTTGAGGTGAGGTCATCCTGCCACAACAGGCAGTCAGATTTCATTACTGCAGGGCTGCTAAAGCATCCATGAGCAACAACTGTCTGTGGTGACGCATTGCAGCCGACTGGGGAGGGAAGGTTATAGAGTCGCACTCTGGTGGTAGACTTCATACTTAGACAGAAATGGCTTAAATTCCCCAAGTGAACAGCGAAAGAAGAATCTGTACGGAGATAACGCTCCTATGGTGACTTTAATTGTTTGCAATGTTTTGGTCCATTACAGATTTTGTTCAGACACTAAGTGAAAAATGCAGTGTTGTACAATCTAATGCAATTCAACTCTACAACACATCCTATTGTTGGTTAAAATCTAGGGTTATTTTTAAGCCTGTAATTAGTGATTATGTTATATTGGAGTGCATTGTATTGAAAGCTGCTCCCCTCCAGAGATCAATAAAGTTTTATCTTAATCTACAATATTGCAGCATAATCGATTTGTTGTTTATTTTCTGTATTTGTAATGTGAATCTGCAAAGTCATTGGAATAAAAAGTACAATATTTCCCTCTGAATTGTAGTGGAGTACAAGTATAAAGCTGCAGACAATTGTACTTACATACAGTACCTGAGTACATGTACTTAGTTACTTTCAACCACTAGATTACAATGGGAAAATATCTCTTCAAGACATTCTGACATGTCAAAGCAGAAAGGCACAGCTCCAGCTAATGACATGAATGGCAACTCTGTCACATTCAGGTGTGCTGGTGACCCAGTATGCACAATAGCAGGGCACCACCTAAATGGAATGCAGCCATTATTATGTTATTACTTGCAGCTGTTTGATGAGTTAAAATGTCTGCAGTGGGAAAAAGTGCGTGTATGAATTCCTTCCCAAAAAGAGCTTTCAGGCAACACATCACGCATGCTCAAGGGGTATGATGGTCAGACAAATTTACTGTGTAAAGTAAAAAGACATTTTAGATAGATAGATAGATAGATAGATAGATAGATAGATAGATAGATAGATAGATAGATAGATAGATAGATAGATAGATAGATAGATGTCAGATTATGTTGTTTTCCCGAACAGGGAGAGCAACAAGCAACGTAATCCGATTGGTCCCCATGAAAGCCAGACCCGAGTGCATTGTGGGTAGGGTTTTGCTGGTTAATGAGAGCTAATGATGGAAATGTGACTGTGTATGTGTGTGTGTGCACGCATGTGCGTTTATGAGTGTGTGTTGCACCCATTAAAGTCTCAGGATGGCATTGCTGTACGTAATGTCTGCCATGGGGCTGAATCCAGGCCAAATGTATTTATGTATTTAGTTAATTTAGGATGCAATGAAGAGCTCTGGTGGTCTAATTGATCTGTACAGGAGGCCGCACACCAAAAACAAGGCCTCCATTAAAGGAACCTCTTGGGACACGGTCTGTGATGAATGCGTGGAGTGTGTGTGTGTGTGTGTGTGTGTGTGTGTAAGTAAGTGAAGGAGATGAGTCTCTGTTAGTGTGTGTTCCTGTGTTTGTGTGAAATGAAATATCACTAAATACTGACAGTGGAGTCATGCCTGCTCCAAACTGCAAACAGGATTGTGTGTAAGGATGAGTTATTGTGAGGATTGTATATTTTTCGTCATAGCCTCTCCAAAGTTCAGAAATACACCTACCAACACCTTTAAAGCTCAAAAATTAACAACAACAATGTGTTTATTTAATCTGTACAAGTACAGATTACACATAAAAGGTAAAAATGACAATGGGTTACATGTTGGAGCAATTTTTTAAAATGTTTTTTTTATTTCTTTCTCTCTTCTAAACAAATTAAACCAACAAGATCTAAAAGTTGAGCTGAAACTGAGTCGGATATCTGGGGAACGTCTGACCAACTGCTGGCAACATGGCTGCATCTGCTTCTGAATAAAATCCAATATTAACTGACTATTTGTGTTTGGTTTGATTTCACTTGTTAACAAGCTACTACAAATATGAAACACAACAAAGGACGTAATTTTAGGCTATTTTTATGGTGTGACTACAAGGTTAGCTGTGGGGTTAACCTTCTTGGAATAATGTTTGAATGTTCCCAAATCGGGATAACGGTAGGTTTTCAGGCACTTCCCATTCTGCTGATCTGGTGTGAATACAGCATGAGATACGTGTTAGTCACTCAGCTTTAGATAGCTTTAAACAGTGAGGCTAACTGTTTCCCATTGCTTCCAGTCTTTATACCAGCTAGGTTAACCATTAAATCCAGCTCTGAGCTTAACTTAAAGTGAGATTGATATCAATCTATTCAACTAACGCTTGAAAACAAAAACAAAAAGCATATT